ATATATGTATATACAAAAATTAATATAATTAGCACTATAACAAATTTCTACAATACCAGTTCTAGTTACAAAATTTATAATCATTAGAAATTAATATTTAAACTTACAATTTTTTTATTTATTGAATAGATAATATTTGTCTATAATGTCTATAACTTCGTTTGATTATATTCAGGTGTAAACTATGTCATTCTTTACAAGAAAAAAAAGAATAAGTCAATCATGTAGTAATATGAATGCATATTGGGATTTTAAGTTTCTACACACTTCATTATTTTGTTTAACAAAAATAATAAAAATTATGGTTGATTAAAAAAGACCACATGCCAATAAGCATTAAAAATAAATTTAATAGTTAATAATGGTTTTAAATGCGGAAAAGAAAAAAAAAGATAATAAAGAAGAACATGTTGACCATTTCATACAAAAATTTTTGTATAGAGGTGTTTTATAGTACATGCGATTTAAGGTAAATGAACAAAAACATGATTATTATGTTAATAAAAATTAAGCTCGAATAAATCTGATTAACAAATTAGTTTTTGCTAAAAGCATCAAGTGAAAAGCGAAAATTTTAAAACGTAAAAATTATTCGAAAATATTTATCCATAATATTTTTTCTGACCAGCAGAAAGATAATATAGTAAATTAAAATTGATAAAAATTACATTTTCCTTGTTTTTTTTTTTTTTGTTTTGTTTTTGTTGTTACGAACGTTCAACATATCGTGATAAAAGAATTTTTAAAAGTCATACAAAGCATAAATTTTTATGATTATAAGAAACTTATAATCCAACTTTACAAATGTAAACATAAAACAACTATTCTGGAAAAGCTATGATGACAGCTATATGTATATTTGATCTTCATTGACCATGATAAAAGCAATACTTTTGTTGAAGATTGATGATTAATGAGATGTTTTTACTGAATAATTGAATTTGAACGATGAAATCTTCTGCACTGTTGTGATGCTCGTGTTACCGGATTGTCTTCTCCAATGCCATTGAGAATATCGGTTAGTCATCTGATAAATGCAGTTTTATAACTTTTGGTCGTACGTGCACTGCAAGTCATAGAAAGAAATGGAAGCAGTTTGTTAGGCATTTCAGTGTTACTTGATGTTTAAGCTTTATGTTTATCTATGACCATACAATAAATGGTTATTGTATTTAACAAAAAGCTATTTTAAATCTGAACTTTTGTAATATTTAAATACATTTTGAATTAAATCAATAAAAAACTTTTAAGTATATAAATTAATAAATACATAATTTTATTTTATTATTCTTCTTTCAAATCTAATAATGTCTTAAAGGTTATTTTTGTATGTCTTGAGTGAAAATTTCTTATCAATACATGCAACATTTAATATTAATAAAAAGTTCAAGCTGCATAGTTTTACAACCTTCTATATATAATATATACAATAAATTAATAATTGCTATATAAAATAAATGTCATATAAATATAAAATCTTTCATTATTAAAATTAAAATCTTTCATAGTTTATAGTATGTACGATATATTTAAACACTGAGAAATTGCATCAAAGTAAAATTACAAAGCTGTTTCATGTAACTAGATATTTCAGAAGGAGAATATATACATATACATATATATGTATATATACATATATACATACATATTCTTTTTATTAAGTAGTATATTTTTAAAAATAACATTGTAAATTAATATTATTTTTAAAAGTAGTACAATATAGAAAAGAACCTTACTTAAGAAGTGTAAGTCAAAAATTGTTTATAAAAAGAGCTATATAACTGTTACTTAATAACATTTTGATAGTAACAGTTACAGAGACTTACTGTCTTAGAGAATGATAGCGATTTACTCGATCTGCAGACCTGAGGATCATATTCATGCCTCGCTGCGGTTGTGTAATCAAACTGTTTGCAGACGAATTTGTTGTTTGAGTTTCTGTGATGCAGGAAGTTCTTATACTGGCCCTTGTCACTGGTTTTGTTACAGGGATTGAAGTAACACGAGTACTGGAGGATGTGTTGTTGATATTATGAAGTCGTGTTGTTGGTTTAGTAGTCTTAACGCGCGGGGATGTATCGCACGTATTGACTAACCAACTATTTCTATGATATTCAACAGGCAATGAATTTATATAGGAAAAAATGATAGTAAATAAGTAATAAATTTAAGAAATTGTTAAGGAAAATTGAATGAACTAACCTTTTAGCAATATTTGTTGTAGTGGTTCTAGGTAGAAGTCTTTTTGTAGAATCTTTTCCTTTATTTCCAGCTAAAGTATTAATTGTATTCTTCTGACTTCTTGTTTGTAATAACGATCTTAAGTAAGGGCTGAAAAATAATATTCATCTATTAATTACATCATTTAGTTATTGATGAAAAGTTGAACTGATTGAATATTTACTTTACTACGGTTGATGGTCTAGTAGCTGTATTAAGAGAAGCATGATTTGTTGGTAATCGTTTTCTTTTAGCTTTAATTTGATTCAATTTGTCCCCCTGAGTTAAAGTTGTATATTTAGTTGTACTGGAACTTGCATAATCATCTAATGTAATTCCATCTACACAATGCATTATTCCCGAAACATTATCTTGCATTAAGTGAGCATTTTTTAGATTAGACAAAAATGATATCTTCGGTCTACCAATTATAGAATATATTCCATATTCATGAACTGGATTTCCATTCTGAGGTTTCAATGGTTCTTCTAGTAAAGAATGAAGGTATGCTTCTTTTCTAGAATATAAAATTTATAATTTCTCAGTATCAAAAGTTCATGCTACTTTTATAATACAAACTGAAAACTTGATATTTTAATACTGATGCACACTTCTCTAACCACTCCTGCTGATGTCCAATTACTGAACCTGGTCTACATATTCGTATCCATGCAATTGTTTCATGAGCTGTTAAATGATAATGTTTCATAATGTAACAGCCTATCAGTGAACCTGTTCTACCAAGCCCAGCTCTACAATGTACAGCAACAGCACCACTTGCATTTTCTGCTATTTTAAGAAACTGTCGCATAATGGAGTCTGTTGGAGTTGAACCATCAAGAAAAAATAAATCTTTATGATCAAATCCTGCATCTGTGAAGATGGAAGCATCATAAATTTTTTTATTGAGACGTATAATTGTTGTTACATTGTTATAATGAAAATATCTAAAATATGATTCTGGTGCATGAAGTGGATATCCTGCAAGGAAAAGAAATAAAGATAATAAATTAAAAAAGCATAAAATAGATCAACAATTGCAATCTAAAATTAAGCTTACCATTTTCTATTTTAAATTTAGCATAAGGACCACAAAAAGCTATAAATTTACCAGGAACAATCCAATTTAAGTCTCCATTCTCCACTCTTTCAAAACATTCATATTCCTTAACACAAAAGTCTTGAAAATTAAAAAATCCAAGTTTGTGGCACTTATATATGGCACTAAGGCATTCAATCAAAGATATTGCAAACCATGGTGTACCAACAGAAGCATCTCGAAACATTATAAATGATGGACTATCAGGATTATTAGTTAAACAATTATATGCTTCTTCTGCTGTATGTTTACAATATAATATCTAGAAAATATATAATGATGAAGACTTTTTCAAATATATTTTTAATAACATAAATGAAACTAAGATTATAATTTCTTACAGCATAACTGCCTATAAGGAAAGCAGCATTAACTCGTTTTGCTGGATCCATTGTTGTATAATGCACAATTTTCTTTTTTCTTAATGTTACTGCTTTTAGTTTTTTATTAACCTTTTGACAATAATGATATAACATAGCAAGATTTAATGGACCAAAATCATCATAAAAATTTTCATAAACCAATTCATCATCAATACTGAAATAATGAGTATTTGGAGTACTCTTTGGTTTTGTCATCGTCTTCAATGTTATAAAATATAGTCGATCTATGATATACAAAAAATATAAATGACATTTCAAAAACATTTAGATAATATTTAATATAAATTAAATGCTGTAATAATCTTTTATTGAATTTTGTTAAAAAAATTAATTACCTTTTATGAATTCTGATGCGCATACTAATAAGTCATTTGTATCCTCCATCATTGGTTTGCATATATTTTCTGATATTGTGAATACCAACTGAACAAGCCTGTCATCAGTGTAACCGATATAAGAAAGGATACAATTTAATTAACACAATCAGAGATCATAAATATAAACACACAGAAGGTTAGAGTGGGTGTAGAAAAAGTAAACTGGATCCATCTACCTACACACGGTTACATTTGCATGGTATGTGTAATACAAATGAATTTATAATTAAAATGTCGTATGCGACAATATGATATGTACTATATCGAAAAATGTTTATACTTACCCCTGCGACCGTTACAAGATTCAAACTTGGTAGTCGGTTGTGACTTGGTCAATGAAGAATTGATGATGGCTAATCAGATATGTTGCAGAGCCCGTCTGGTAATATCATATATTCAACTATACGTTGCCTTATAAGTATTATACAATGTTTTTTATTATTTGAACATGACCATTTTATAAAGTATCAGTAAAATGTTTATTTCTTATACATACTAACATCACTATTCCGCATAAAGACGAAAAATAGTTTTCGAATACACTGCCATGTTGGTTGTCCTGTAATATTAACTGATGACCATAACTGACTTTCAATGTCTAGAACAAGGAATACTGTAGAACGTTCACTGATATTGAAAATATTTCATGCAATATTCTAAAAGTCTCAAATCGAATTATAATTGATATTACATGCTTGTAGTACAATTATATCGTAATCATTTTTAATCTTTATTTAAGATAAACTAGACAATTATTACATTAATTACAAAACTATATTCTATTAAATAAAAATTCCCTATATTTTTATAAATTGTCGTTACTTTTGAATTTAAATTAATTTAATTTATATCTATGTATTTTAATAATGTTTTGTTTCAAATTTTTTGTTTTTGCATCATTATACCTTTATATAAAGCTATATGTTTGATTAAAAAAGTGAAATAATTTTATGTCATCTATTATGTATTTATTCCTCGATCCTTTACCAATTGCCCTGATCACCTTTTGTTAGTGTAATAAATTACAATTGTAACCTAACTATATCCATATAAAAGTAAAATAAATCTAAGTATCGATAAGTAGAAACATTTTCTGAAATGACATTTTCGATACTAAGTGGATGAAATTGTATAAAAAAGAAGAGGAAAAAATGGAGTATAAAGGAGACACTCAAACAGATATATTTTCGTCAGAACAAATGGCTTCGAAAACATTTATATTTTCTAAACCTCGCATATTTAGTTCTGCTGAATCTATTAATTCTGAGATTAATTTTGAACAATTATTAGATACATCTGTTATTAGAAAAAACTTATTTACTTTTGCTATGCCAATGTCAGTAACACAATCTAATGATCAAGATGTATCTGTTTTCCAAATGGATACATGTGAAAAACAATATAAACCAAAAATATCAAGAAATTCTTATAAACCAGCTGTTAATGTATTTGCTCAAGCACTTAAAGATACTGCAATGTTTGAACAATTAAAAAAAAATTCTAGATCACAAGCTACTAAAGTTAATCCAGAAAATTCAATAACATGTACAAATGTGCCTCAATCATTACTTACAAAAGTAACAGCAAAAGAATATTTCATTCAATTTGGAAATCTTTTAAAAATTACTATTCGTTCTAAAAAACAAATAATTACAGTTATTTATGCTACTAAAGAAGAAGCAAATATTGCTTATAATAAAAGTGGTGAATATTTAGGAGAAAAATTTAATGTAGAATGGACAAAATCATGTGTTTCACCAAAATCTCCTACAAAGAAAAAAGATTTACAAAAGAATATTATACCACAAATTGTATCTAATTTCTTTAAATCGCCTGATGATGAAATTAAATCAGAATTAGAAGCTATGACAAATTTAGAATATAATCTCCATAATAGAAATAATATTGATGGATCTTTAATTAAAAGACATAAAACATTGCAATCAAAAAATATATCGAAGTCAATTACAAGATTAGAGAAAGCATCTGCAAAAGCTGAAAAACATAAATCTGATAGTCAAATATCTGATTTATTGCCTAATGCTACCATTGAAGAACTACAAAATATAATTCAACAACCTGCATATACTTCTGAAGATAAATATAAAGTATTGGAAGCAAGAGATCGTCTTATGCGGATGAGGCAAGTTAGATCACATACATTAGCAGCAGCTAAAGTAATGACCGGAACATGTCCTGATATGTGTCCTGAAAAAGAACGTTTAATGCGTGAGGCAAAGAGACAAGTGGCTTTATATGAACAGCTTGAAACCAATGAGTACAGAATAAATCACATGATAGCAGTTAAGCAGTACTCTAGATCATCTGCAGATCAGGAAGAACCAATGGCACATGAATTAAGACCAGTGAAATCTTTAAAAATGACTATGAGTTATTTACTTCATGAAATAGTAAATCTTTGTGATCAACAGGGGACAAATTTGGGAGAGTGGTATCATTTTTTATGGGATAGAACAAGAGGAGTTCGAAAAGATATAACACAACAAGAATTATGTTGTATTGATAGTGTGGAATTAGTTGAACAATGTGCTAGGTTCCATATAGTATGTTCTGAAAGACTTTGTGCAGAAGAACCATCTGTTTTTGATAAGAAAATCAATTCCGATAATTTAACAAAATGTTTACAATCATTAAAATACATGTATCATGATTTGAGAGTAAAGAAAATTAATTGTGAGAATGAACCTGAATTTCAAGCATATATTATTTTACTAAATTTAAACAATGGCAATTTTATGTGGGATTTACAAAGGTTGCCAAAAAATATACAAAAGTCATCAGAAGTTCGATTTGCATTAGAAATATATTCTGCTCTTGAATCAAATAACTATTATAAATTTTTTAAGCTTGTTCAAAAAACTACACATTTAAATGCATGCATCTTACTTAGGTATTTCAATCAAGTAAGATTAAAAGCATTGTCAGTACTAGTCAAAGCATATTGCAGAACTGCATCAACAGCATATCCACTATATGAATTAATTGATATTTTAGGTTTTGAAAGTGAAAATGAAGCTATATATTTCTGTGAACAAGTAGGATTGAATGTTTCAAAAGATGGCTTACATGTGTTATTAAATCGACATAATTTTACTATGCCTGTATTAAATATAAAACAGAATAGAGCTTGCAATTTAATAGACTCTAAACGAATTAGACAACATTTATCAATTGGAGAATGCATAGCGGGAGGGAAAATGCCAGAAAAAACTTATAAATATCATAAACCCCACAACAGCTTTAATTCACATGGTTATTTAATGCCTGATTCTATCAATGCTGAAGATCAAAATAAAAATATTTTTTCATCAACTGATCCATATGAGTTTATAGATGAAGATATAGTACAAACTGAACAATCAATGTTATCATCTGAAAGAAGTCAAGGTCATGTTAAAGATATGGTTAGTACTGATCACATAATTGCATTAAAATCCATTTCAGACACAACCATAAAATCCAATGTTAATATCTCCTGTGTCTCTAAACCTCAGGTACAGATCAATAAATTCCAAACAAATATAAATTCAGGATTAATGAAGTCCAAAACAGAAAATGAGAAAGATCCTAAGACATTTAGCTTCATACAACAACAGCAACTAAATGAATCTTCTATTTTATCTAATATATTCAATACTACACCAACAACATCAAAAACTTCTAATACATTTCCTAAGAAATTTGAATTACCACCAAACAGTGATATATCTCCATTTGTAACAGCTACAAACAAAAACATATTTTCAGAAATGTCACAAGGAAATACATTTATGAAAAATCTTACACCTTCTACAGTATTTTCTAGTACATATTCAAACAAGCAAACTGTTCCAAAGTCACCAAACATTATAAATTCTGCTACTATTATGAATAAAAATATATCAAAAGAAACACAAGATATTTTTGCACATACAAAAGAAATGAAAAGATCAGCTTCACAAGAGGAAATGACTGAAAAGTTAAAATCAGAAGAACACGAATCTGTTAAGAAATCACAACAGATTGATGATATGGCCAAAAGAATTTTAAATTCCTTACAAACAGAAGTAATACAAGCACACTGTTCTGCTGTAGTAAAGGAAGAAGTAGATAAACTGTATATGTATAATACACTCAGTGAGGATATTAATAATGAAATTTTAAATGAAGTAACTTATGAAATTTGTAATAATTTATTAAAAGAAGAAATCGTTAATGCACGGAAATTATGTGAAATATCGATAAAAATAAAAAACAGAGTAATTATAAAATATTTCAATATATGGAAATTTAATACTGTAAAGAAAAAACAACAAAGAAAAGTATTAGAAAATACACCTGTATGGTTGCAAAAGCATTCTAGTAAACAATGTGCAAAATTATTGTATTCAAAACAACAAAATTTAGTTATTAAAAGTATGTGCAAAAAACGAAATGAACCAAAAAATGTTGAATGTTATTCTGAGTCTTTAGCACCAATTAAAGTTATAATTTATATTGGTATTAAAGAATATTTAAAATCTTTAGATATTAACATACATTCGAATTATTATTGGAAATTAGTTATTTCTTGGCCAAATTTACATAACAAAGCAGTTTTATGGCAATATAAAAAAATAATAAATCAATATCTTTGTCCTGAAGATTATACTACAGATCCCATTATGAAACTATATCAACCAAATGAAACTGAAACTTTGCATATCTGTATTAGACATTTTGAAGGTTTAATTAGTGATCATAACTTAATAGGATCAGATGCTCTTTTATTTATAGCAGATGCTACTGAAGAGATTAAATTTATTATCAAACGTTTAACAAAAACCGTATTATCAAGAGACAGACTTATGCCTATTCCACTTGTATTTATTATTTTGGGTGATTCAAATTTTCAAATTCAAAATAAAGAAGTTGTTTCTAATTTAGAAAAATTACTGCAGTCTGGATATTTATCAGTGTATACGATTATGCATGAAAAAAATTTAACTGAGAAAACAATTTTAAATTTAACTCAAAGTGCAATACTTTGGTTATCTATAAATAAATCACCTCAAAATCCACTGCAAATGGATTACTTGCAAAATATTTATAATACCTGCTTAACAGAAGATTTATGGTTGAGGTATTATAATTAAAAATATGTTACTTAATTAACTTTTCTGTATAAAATTTATTTAATTTATTTTAATTTACATTTATATAAACTTTACATTTTGATATTTTCACAGAATATATGATAACTCGTTTTCCAATGAAAAATTAATACATGCTTTAGAAGAACCCAAGTTTATAATTGATTTACATAATGAAGCAGTCTCCTATTTAATAGACATAATATTAAATCCAGAATCTTTTATGTATACAAAATTTGCTCCAGAATTTCAAAAATTTATTAAAAAACAATGTATGATGCCATGTAATTATGAACATTTTGACGACACTTGGAAAAATGAAGATTATAAAGCAAAATTGGAAAAAGTGATGTCTAGTTTTAAGCTACCTCAATGGAAGTAAGTAATATCATATAAGTTGAATACAGTGTTCTTTGTTTAGTATTTAATATTATTTATTAATTTGATGAAATTCATTTCTATTTATTTTAGGTATCCATGGCCTATAAATAATAGTGTCATATTTCGTCAACACATAACAAATTACTGTCAAGAAGCATTATTTACTTCTGATAGTGATGAAATATGTTGTAATATATTAAGTAATTTATTTATTACAACTGGAATTTTAACTATATCAAATTTTATAGATGTTTTATTGTATATTATTAAGCAGAAAATATATCTTCTCGATAAAGATTTAAAAGTAATTTATAATAAGAACTATATGAAACACTTTCAAATTTTGCCATGGTGGTTAAAATCTAATGTATTAACTAAATATAAGATTGTGATAAAAGATATTATTCAAGAAACTAGAAAAGAAAAGAAAAAAAGGAATGCTATTAATGAACCAGTAGTAAAAAAACGAAAGTTAAATGAATTTCAAGAAAATAATTTTGAACTTGAACCATTAGCAACATTTTGCGAAAATAGTCGCAGTCAAGTAATGGAAGTGCATTATATTTCGAATTATTATATATTATAAACATATTATATAACACGTGTCAAAATAATTTTTCGACAAATATCTTTTATTATAATTGTCTTTCCTAATTACAATATAAAGAATAAGTGATAATAGCAAATATTAAGTTTTAAAATTTATGTATTTTATTGTATCTTGTATGTATTCTTTTATTTTAATTAATTATATTAACATAAAAATTAAGAAACTGACATATATAAAAAGACATTGAAACAGTATGTCGCCTTTTATTTATATTTATATTTTAAGAAACTATAATATAATTTATAATTTTACAATATGAAAACTACTAATTTAAAAAGAAACCTTCATAATTAAAATAATATATATTTTTCCAATATTTAAATTCAAATTTAAATTCTCAAAAATGTATGTTAAATAAATTTTTTGATAAGATTTTATTCAATTAACTTTTGAATTCTGAAATAATAGGTGATGTTAAAAATTAACTAATTAATTATTTAAATATATTTGTTACATATACATAAAACAGAGATATCAATAATCAAAAATTTATTTTAAATTATTTCTTACTAAATCATCTTGTTACAATAAATTTTTGTGTTGTATATGTTCATTTTTGAAAATGCTCCTTTAATTCAAAGTGCGACCTCTATTGGAGAATTATCATACCAAAATCTTTAAATTTTAACGGACTTTTTAAATGTTGAGTATTTTATTCACTTTAAGTACGTTAAGTCGTGTAAGCAGAGATTTGATGTTTTTTTAGTGTAGCATTGTAATATTTAATATTTTGCACTTCTATGTATTTTTCATTTTACTGTTAAATTCTTTTTTTATTACATTTTAATTAGGAATAAAATAATTTAACTCCTTAATATGCAGTAACGTCATAAAGTTTGCTATCTGATTTATGCTTAAATTTCGTTTATGCATTATTTCGTATTTCTAAATTAAATTATTGTTAATTTTTAAATTAGCTTCGTAATGTCTCATTTAAAATATATGAAAGAAATAAATAATTTAACTCGTATGGATGAAGCTATTAAAGGACCGCTTCCACGTTGGCAGAAAAAAAGTTTAGAAACATCAAATTCTAGGTATTGTTTTATTATTTTACTATCTTATTATTATTAAAAATATTTTTTATAATTGTAATAGTTTATATTTACAGTGTTAATATTAGTGTTAGTTCCACAAGAAAAATTACAAATGGTTCATTTGCAAATACTACTACAGGCAAAACACCAACAAAGAAGAATGATATTCGAGCTAAAAAAACACCATCTAAAGCTTCTAAAAAATCACCAAGTATGAAATCATTCTCATAATTTATAATATATAGTGATACATAGTAGTTATGAAGTAAAAAATTTGATGTAGTTTTTTAAATATTATCTACTTAATTAGGTCGTATTTCTACACCAGCTAAGACACCTAGTGGTGGTGATAGGTTTATTCCCTCAAGATCAACTACTAATTTTGATCTTGGCTATTATAAGGTATATATACACATATGTCTTTTAATTATAAATTTTATAATCTTAATATAATACTAAAATTTATTAAATAGAGAATTTTCTAATTTCAGATTCAGCAACAAACAAATATAGAAAAGGAAGATGAAAAAGTAGATAATGCAAGTCCTTCTAAAAGGGAAATGCAGCGACTTATAGGGGAAAATCTACATGGTGGTGATATCAATCAAATGAGAGTTTTATCCTATCAGAACAAAGCACCAGCTCCTCCAGAAGGTTATCAAAATCCTTTGCGTGTTGTGTATAGTCAAAGTAAAACACCAGCAAGCATTAAAGCTTCTACAAGATATATACCACAAACACCAGATAGAATATTGGATGCTCCAGAAATTGTTGATGATTATTGTAAGAATGTCTGAAAATTTAATATTTATTGTTATCAAGTAACCATACGAATTTGTAAATATGTTTTAGATTTGAATTTGATTGATTGGTCAGAAAGTAATATTTTAGCTGTAGCATTAGGTGCTAATGTGTATTTATGGAATGCTGCAACAGGAACTATAGAACAATTATTTGAATTAGAAGGCAATGATTATATTTGTTCTGTGGCATGGATTCAAGAAGGTCCCTATTTAGCTATAGGTACTACAATGGGAAATACTGAATTATGGGATTGTAGTCAAACAAAAAGAGTTCGTGTAATGAATGGTCATGCAGTCAGAGTAGGTTCTCTGTCTTGGAATTCACATATTCTGACGAGTGGATGCAGGTACAAAATTTTCATAATAAATATTAATCAAAGAATTTTAATATATATACTTAATACAGAGCAGGACAAATAGTACACCATGATGTTAGACAAAGGGACCACCTAATATCAACAATTAATGCACATGGTCAAGAAGTATGTGGTTTAAAATGGTCACCTGATGGAAAGTACTTAGCAAGTGGTGGTAATGATAATATGCTTCAAATATGGCCATCAGTGTCTGGACAAAGTCATACACATACACAACCAATTTATTCATTAAATCAGCATCAAGCTGCTGTAAAAGCTCTTGCATGGTGTCCCTGGCAGAATAGTATTCTTGCTAGTGGGGGTGGTACTGCTGATAGAACTATTCGATTTTGGAATTGTAATACAGGTAAAAAAGTATCAGCTATTTACATGCATTCATCATATCTATATAATAATAAAAGTTCTCTCAAATTTTCTTTTACAAATATTTGTATGACAGGTGTATGTTTAAATATGGTAGATACCAAATCACAAGTATGTTCTTTGCTTTGGTCTACAACATATAAAGAAATTGTATCTGGCCATGGATATGCGCAAAATCAATTAATAATTTGGAAATACCCTGCAATGACGAAGGTTGCAGAACTTACAGGCCACACTAGTCGTGTTTTACACTTAGCAATGTCTCCAGATGGTACTACAATACTTAGTGCAGGAGCTGATGAAACCTTGAGATTATGGAAGTGTTTTCAACCTGATCCACATAAAAAAAAAGATACAAATGAAATAAAATCTGTTACTTCTAGACTTAAACAATCAATTCGGTAACATTTTTATACCAACAAATAAGAAAGGTTTCTATATTTACTCCTGAACTAAATGATTTGTATTTTAATGGATATGGAGATTTATAATATTTTTTTCAATGTCATGAAGATTTATAATATAATTTTCAATGTCACTGTCCATGTATTTAAAATAAATTTGAAATACCTGGTACCTGGAAGTATCGAGCTAGATTTAGATCATAGGTTTAATTTATGTATTATTTTTATAAAAACAATTATATGTAAAAATGAAATAAAGGAATATTACTAAACTTTGAGTTTTTTTATTGTATTATATTAAAAATAATTGATAAAAATAGGGAAACAATAAATTTCTACGTATTTAATTAACTTTCACATTACTTTATTATCTGAGTTCTTTGTGTTGGATGGGTATGAAAAATGTGTGGAATCTCCCCACCTTTTACACTTTGACGCGAAAGTCTTCAGGTAACAATATCTAACCTTTCTTTAAAATGTTTAATTGAACAACATATAGTTTGTGTTACATTAAAATATAGTGGCATTCTAAAGTAATTTGTTTAAAATTTAGTATTAAGGTATCATAATAACCTCCGTTTTAATAAAATATACCTAACTATATTGTAGAAACTATTATATACTTCTTTATAATTGGATTAAAACGAAATGGATGAAGGAAATTCTAAAACTGTATCATCGAAATCACAATGTAAGTATATGGATCAAATTTTTTCTACAGAAAATCCGAAGGATGATAATGAACATGATTGGTGGGCAAGTGATAGTGGATCAAGTACTGGATCATATTATTCAGATACTGATAGGTATCATATAATATAATTTTTATATTATTAAAATATATCATTACTGTATAATTTAGAAAAAAATTCTTATAGTTCCACAGCAGAGTGGGAATCAGAAATTAATTCTAATGGAGAACTGATTTATATAGAATCTGCAATAGATAATATAAATGATGAACAATTATTTAATGAAACAAAACTTGATTCTCAGCCTGAGTTAATACGACGTCGAAGTACAAGAGCTGGAAAACTCATGCGACTTATAAGGCGTAAGGAAAGCAAACGTTTAAGTACAAGAAATAAAAAATGTAATTTTAATATCACAGTAAATAATATTGGAAATTCAGGAAAAGAAGGAACAACAATTAAAGAAGTTACTTTCAGAGATTTTCAAGTACATAATTTTAATTGAAATTTAAATAATCCTAATAATAATAATATATATATTTACATCCAAATATGTAAATTTTCAAGGCAGGTGAAATTCGTGAAGTTATATTATGGGTTGATCCAGATAGACGACATAAATTAGGAAGAAGAGCTACATTATGTGAGGCTTATTTTGGAATTATTCCAGGTGTTTTTTCAGACAAAACACGTATTATGGTTGCTGGATTCGTACCAGATGGAGAAGCAATGAAAAACAGAAATATTAAAATTGGAGACTGGTTACGGAGTGTGAATTCAAATAATGTTACCTATCAAAATTTGGATCACATATTATCTGAAATCACTGTTTCAACAAATGTAAGAATTAGAATGTAACAAATATCACATGTTCAATCAATACCTTAAAAAAATACCATACATTTTCATAAGATATCTTCCATATCAGCTTTTAATCTTTGTTCAGGTAACATTAGAATTACAAAGAGTTGCAGGTGTTGATGTTACAGCAACATTATCTGGATTAAATTGCCCTAAAGTAATTATAATTTTAGATAATTTACATATAATAATAATATATACAATTTAAAGAATTATAAATACTGTTTTCTTCATTAGCAGTCTGTATTAGTGCAAAGACTAATGAATAAAGAGGAAAGCAAAGATTTAATGCAATCAATAATAGACTATCCACTTGGAATATTATATTTACAAACCACAGAACTTTCAGAAGTAGGACCTGAATTGCAAGGTGTTTTATATACATTTCCTCGAACAGAAAATAAAAATATACACTCTATTTTATGTACAGCAAGAGGTGCTTTTATAACTTTAAATCATTTACTACCAGGAATTGGTGGTCTACAACCTACTAGGTATAATTAAATGTTTACATTGCTTCATATAAATACATAATTTTTATAACATATATGCAATCACATTTTATAGTACAACTTTTATAGTACGACTATACAAGTAGCAGAAGAAGAAATTCATGTTGTATATACACCTCGAAATGATGAACTACTTTTAATGGCATTACCAAAAAAATGGTAAGCCACAATTGAATAATATAAATGAACATTATATAAATAAATAAATATTGATTAATTTACTTTAAGTTATCTGTAATATCTTTTAGTTGTAGTCTTGAAGAAGCCATCAGTTTGTCAGGTGATATAGTGAGAACTTTAGAATTTACATACCAGTCATTGACAAAATGTTTCACACCTGAGGAAAACCAATCTTCTTTAGATCATTTTTTTATATTAATTGTTCAACGATTATTGGATGTAAAATCTTATGCCATCAATGCAGGGCTGTCCAGTTCTTGTATGGAAATTCATAATGATATTGAGAGTATGGAAAGTTACAAATTTAGAAGCACTTTTTCAGTTGCAAATTTTATAGAATTATCAAGAGATGCACAAATTCAAATTGATGCTGCTCTGAGTGAAATGGAAGCCATGGATTACAGAGATTGGGTATGTATTGTACAATATAATAACAGGAGAAAATAAATAATATAAAATAGTTTTATGTATCTAGAATGAAGATCCTATGGACTGCCAAAGGCTTTACACAATTTTAGGTAGCTGTATTTATCACAAACGTTATCTCCTTGGATCTCACTTAACTCACAGTGATTTGATTGAGATAGAATCTTATCTTAGACAAAATTGTATTTTAAATTTAATAAACAATGAACCTGTGAAGAGTCTTGTTATCTGGAAAAAAGTGTATCCGTCTTTATACAATCATAGAAATATAGAAAACAACAAAAATAATCAACCATTTGTTCCTAATGGAAAATGGTACTTACTCGTTGTTGGGTATGGACATGATTTATTAGCAGTCCTTTTAGAATCTGGTGGATGCACTGCAAAGTAATTTTTATCGTTTTTTTCATAGTTTGGATTAATTTGGCTATGTTTCGAAAATTTGTATATATGCTTTATAGATGTAGTGACGTTATTGGTCCAGATGTATTTTATGTAGAAGAAGCTCAAGAAACTTTAAAACATATACAAAAGATAGGTGTAACAACATTAGCAGCCAAATGGATTGCATCTAATACAAGACCAGAAGTAATAACTTATGAAGATCCTGTATCTATAAAACCATCATCTAGTATCACAGAAAATCTACTAGGCCTTATAAAATCAACAGATGTACAAAATTTAACTGCCAAATCATCTCATACTTCAAGTGGTATTAAAAAAACTCAAGAAATACCTTCAATTTTAAAAAAACGTAGTATGGAAGAATGTCCTGTCGTATTAGGATCAGGTAAATAAAATTATTTTCAATTTCCAATTATATACAGGTACATGGTTATATATATGATGTAAATTTGAAAGTTATAATTTTATTTTTTCTTACTTAGTATATTCTTTACATACATCAGAAGATTCGTTAAGCCAAGGAACTGGTGGAATTAGTGAAATAAGTGATGAAGCAATGCCTATATTAGGAAGACGTGCAACAAGGGAAAAAATTGTTAGTAGATCAAGATATTCTGATGATAGTGATTCTGATATTGATGTATATAAGGTAATCAATGTAATAAATTTATTAAAATATTTGTTATCTGGTATAATTTACATAAAGTATATTATTATAGAATGACTGCAGAATGTTAAATGTGGATATATCTAATATAAGAGAAAATTTATTAAATCAAGCTGAATATTTAGTACCAAAAGTATTGACAGTGGGTGATAAAAATTATTTATTTCATTATGTACATTTAGACATAGTTGAAGGAATACTTCTATCTTCAAAGCCATTAGAATATACAGGAAAAAATCCTAATTTTCTTATTAACTTTAACAAATGTGTTCATATTATTCACAGATTATTACATAATACAGTAAGATTTAAAACAATGTTAAATTCAGATATGGACAAAACTGTGATTAATAAGAGTTTAATTGCCGTTAAAGAACATGGTGTATTATTTGAATGGGAAAATTTAACTTATTGGGTTGTTGGTCGACTCTATACAACTCCCCATCCAAAAGAGTTGTATGTGTGTTATCAAGATTCTGCACCACAAAATTTAATTGAAATAGCATTTAAATTACATTCATTGCATACGCTAACATAAATTTTAATTTTTTTTAAATACTTTTATTATTGTAATATTCAAAAATTATTATTTTATAAGTCAGAAAAATATAAAAATAATCTATGTAAAAGCTATATCAATAAGTACTGTTAATTTTAACGATAAATACTTGATTTAAAAAGTAGGAAATTTATAATTTTTTATATTTTTTAAGAAATTTTAAAAAACATGCTTTTAAGTATTTTCATATTTGTTTATATGATTATGCAACATTTATAAAATGTGACAACATATTTATATTTTATTCATATGAATTTGTACAGAATATTATTCATTACATGCAGTATTATATATTACATATACTTAACATTTATATTATGTTATAACTTTTATATACAATTTAATAAATACTCTCAATAACTCATTAAGATACATGAACAATATATATATATATATCTTTTTTGAATAATAAGCGCATTTTGAAAATATTTTTGAATTGTATAAAAATTCTTCATATTTTGAATAAAATTTTGAATAAAAATTTAGTTTAATTTCGTTTAATCACATATACTATATATTGTATATTTAACATCATGAATATCTGATTAGTCTATATCATGTGATATATTCATTTCTTCATCACTACGAGGTTGTGCAATGGGAATTTTTACATGTACACAAGCACCTGCCATTTTGCTACCATAGTGCCCTGCCCAAAATAATTTATCAGTACCACTATGCGAAAAATGAATTTTTCGTAATCCATGTCCATAGTTCTTAAATTCATGTGATATCTAAAATGAAATGTACTTAAATTCATAATATAATGTTCTATTACATACATTAATATTTTATTTTTATGTAAAAAACATACCCGATGCCATTGGTTTTGTTGTTCTCCTATAATACTATCATGAAAATGGAAAAAATCTATGATTCTGTTACCTTCTCCTAATAATTTGATGTCACATTCATAAATAGCTGGGCAATCTGAACGACAACTATACCACTCACTTACCTATGAACATGAATATAAGTTGTGATAAATATACATTACAATTTATAAAAAATTAACATTAATTACAATACAAATTTTAGAATACCACTATTGGAGGTTGTAAATTATCTAAAACATATGATGTCAATCCTTCAACTTCTAAATCAATGATTTGTATTTTGGTGCAACTACGATAGGAAGTAACAAAACAGAACTGTTTTCCTTCAAAAACAGGCTCATTATTTGGTAAAGGTACAACATTTGTAGGAGGATTTTCAACTTTCCAACGATCACCGCCTTCACTAATAATCTTCCAGTATTTTTGGGTTCCATATTCTCCAGAGTGATTTTGTATTAAATTTCTTTCAAAAGGCTTTTTTTTACATATTACATAATGCACATACCAAGGCACTTCTTTATTCAAAAGAAGTGATCGACCAAATAAAATTTCTACCTTTTTACGCCAAACATAAGTTTGAATTAAAACTTTCCAAAGTTTACAGACTATTTGACAACGTAACAAGGAATCACAATCGACATAGCAGAAAATTTCTGCTAATAATTCCTCTGGCAGATATTTACCACCAACTATTAATCCATTTTCACTTTTTTCATCAAACATCATGTAAGTAATCACATTAGTACATGAAACTGTCTCGTTTTTGTTTATGAATAAATAATAATTGTTTTAACAAACAATATACGAACAACTAATATTACTCTTTGGGAAAAAGATATTTCTCGTCTTTTATTTGCACTTCTGATTATTCCTCAATTTAAATTATAAAATTAATTATAAAAATTATAAAATTGTATACATACTTTTGAATATGAGCTGACTACATAACCTCCTATTATAATTTAAAATATAACTTTTTATAAAACTTTATTTCTCTCCACTACAATTATTATTCTTATATATAGGTTTTATTATTTTTATTTGAAATAATCATATAAAAAATTAAAACTATAGACATCGTACTAATAAAAATTGTAACATTAAAGTATCTATTACAGTTGCAATTACTAGTTTATGAATCATAACATTACGTACTTTACATTTCTATGGAAGCTTGACATCATTAACACATTCAGTCTGGTGTGTCATATTTGATGCACGTTGGTAGTTTCGTCACATCCGGTATATCATGGGTAATACATTAAACCTTTATTGAATAACTTTTATTTGAAGGTTATTTATTGTTTATTTTAGAAAATAACTTTGTTATATTTATCACAAATATACGTATATGATTTTAAGTAACAATAATTATATTATACATTCGATTCCCTGAAATTCATGGACTATAAATGTGTTAAATGTTTCAGTTAAAATATAGTTCATACAGATATTACTGTTGAATTAAGAGGAGCTGGGTAAAAATTAAAGCGTGAGCAAAATAAAACTCGCCGTATCGAAACAGAAGTAAAGGTTTTATTTTAGAGATACTTGAGGGAGCACATTTGACAAGATACGTCTCTTCTCGACAACTGATCCAGGATTTTTAGATTTTCTTCCAAAGTGAGAAAATTCTCCCACTACATGTAGACCCTTTCAGGCCACGTCATAAATTTCTTACATCTACTCCAACATCCTCTCATCATTGAAATTGAAATACAATTTTTTTCCAATTTCAATAACTCCTGTCCATTCATACCATTCTCATAAGGCATATACAGTAAAACAAGAGAAATGTTACCAAAATGAATCTAGCTTACAAAAAGCAATATTAAAATGAATCATATTTTAAACGCTCTGGTGCATTTACGATTCTTCCATTCCTCGTTGTTTTTACATCATGTGCCGGATCATTAGTTTATGAACTTTGTGCACGCATTATATAAACAATATTCTTATATAACGTTCACATTTTGTTCCCAGTTTCGTTTAGTATTAAATATTTTCATGAACAATCGTATTCATCGTAGATTTTATATTTCCTGTATATAATGATTATTTATATTTTCATGTTCTTTCTGTAGTAAATAAGATTGCTATAGGAAACTGTTTTTCTTGCATAGTATTGTTATTATTTTGTAACAAATATATACTAGCATAAGAAAGCTTAAAAAATAAATTTTTTTTATTTAAAAATTTTATTTACAATGTTTTCATAGGCGAAAAATGAATACAAAATAAAAAATAAATTAAAAAAAGCTACAAACTATGGACGAGAATCAAACCCCGGATCTCTACAGCATAGGAATTTTTGAATGTCGCCGTTAGGCCGCAACGCCACTTGAAAACTGTTGGAAATAAATCTGTAGTTAAAGAAGTAATAAAATTTTAATCATAAATATTTCAAAAACTATGGAATAGTTGCAGCTATAATGATATATTTTCTTGAACTGCAAGACGAAATCTACAAACCTGCAAAGTTTCAACTAAATCGATAACCTGAAGGACTTGCACTATCCTTGTTAGACATTAAAGTTTCATTCAAGCAGGTACCCTTATCATACGATGACTCTAACGGGTATACACGTTGTATAGTTCGTACAAATTCTTCTGTGGAAGTCGTTAGTCGAACCACACTCACTCGGCCATCTGCATCTTTAATGGTATCTTTATATTGAGCTAACGGCCACTCCATCCGTTTCAAATTGTCACTGCTAATTAAAACAATATCTCCGATCTTTATGTTGCGATTACTTTCGGCTTTACTTCTCTGATAAGTTAGAGCTTCTAAATATTCAGTACGGAATCTCTTTCTCAAATTGTCTTTCAGCCACTCTCTGTATATAAATCTTTTATTTAATTGACGAGTCTCAATTTTATCCATTATTACGCCAACTTCCTTAATTTCTTGTAGAAACATGGACGGTGATAAGAGCATCTCTTTGTAATCTAGGCATGACTTATTCGGTGTACGTCTCAATAGACGCTTCAATATACCATTTAGGCGTTCCCAGAATCCTCTCCATCAAGCTACCACAGGCGAATTAAAAATACATTCTATTTTTTCTATAGCTACTACTTTGGCTAACTTTTTAAAATCTATACGATTAAGCATGTTACTTAGACCTACAAAATTCGCCCCATTTTCACTGTAGATAACAGCAGGGCGTCCTCGTCGTGCGATGTGACGACGCAAAGCCAACAAGAAACTAGCCGTCGATAGTAAATTCGAAGTGCACCGCTCTATAAATCGCACACGTAAATACACACAGCGTCCAACATCTAGAGCATTCTTAAACCATTCCTAGCCGTGTGTATTAGCACCAAGGCAGACAAGTATCCAGAAACTGTTGATTTCGGATATGCAGGATCATTCAATAAGACAAATCCATATACCAATATGATAAATATTTTAGAAGTCAATTTTGTCCCTTTTTATAATCCATTAAAGCATACTTCAAAATATTGAGTGCAAGGAGGAGTGTAAGGAGGAGTGTAAGAAGAGCCTGCTGGCCATCCTGCAACATTTGAAAGGTTGGTGCTGTATTGTCACTTTAAAAATGCATTCCCCATCTGAGCTACATCTTTGGTAGCAAATCGCAGAAGCATCATTACAAGAAATCTGCTCAGTCTTAACGTGTTCTTTGGAAGTAGCCTCCTTTTCAGTGCTAACAGAAGTAATTAATTCTGCTATCTTGGTTTTAGAAATGACAGTTGCATCTTGATTATATTTAGACATCAGAAAATGATATTTTTCTATTTGTAGACTGGTCCAATTGGGGTTAGAGAGAGTTAACAGATGGGGATGCTCCTATAGATAAACTAGCAATATCTACAAAATCTGAGGAATTAATAGCATAAAATGCTTCACACATTTCTTTTGGAGCTTTCCAAATAGGACTCTGGTCTGTTTTTGGCAAGACAACCACATCATAAACAGTTACTTGGACCGTATCTCCATCTGGGATCTGCCATGTAAAGTAGAAACCATAGAATCTAAATAAAATTGCTCGAAGGTTAGCTCGATTGTAAGTAGAGCAGAGGAAGTTAATGGTTGCCCTCAACTCTGCTAACATTTTATCATTCCATCCTTCCAGTCAGGGTGCTGTTGGTTTATAAAGCTCATTGAAAACACTGTCAGTGTCTCACAAGAGGACATCATATGACTCTTTAAGTAATTCCGTCATTTTGCCTTCTGGGTCTTAAGGGTATCTAAGACTATGGATGCAATGGTAATATTTCTCCTTCCAAAAATTCCATTAAGAGAGCCAGGTAATCTTTCCATTCAGTTGCGCTGTCATTAGCGTTACTCTCTCGCGCTGACACGATTTACATCGAATTGTTCCGTTTCTAGGCACGTAGCAAATCTTCTGGTAAGGCTGACTCTACGAGAGGTAGTAACATGGCTGCACACATATCGGTAGTCACCCTTAAAAACTCAATCATTCTCAAATACGATTCGTTCGTGTCAGAGACAGTTGATAACGGATAACATTTTTCGAATGACCCCGCATTGATAAGAACTAACTGCAAGAGCTCTCTCACGTAAAATTGTATTTGTAAACTTTCCTTACCAAATCGTTTCTTTAGACTATCAATGACTTTATCATAATTGTCTCCTGTCAATAGATAGCTTCTTGCGAGCTCTGCTGCACGAGAGCCTGGTACCATTGCTTATATCAAGTACTGGAAATTATCTTCACGGTCCAGGTTCGGGTCTTCATGGATCTTTTTAAACAAACTCCAAAAAGGTAGCCAATCGCGTATTTCTCCTGTGAACTTAATCAATTGTATCATAGGTAACTTAAACTGCCTTCGATTTTCACTTCGTTCGACATGTTCCTGATTATTGGTCGAATTATGTACGCGAGCGGGTACTCGTCACATTCCTTATTGATTTCTCCGTCACTTGCTTGAGAATCACTCAGCATTGCTTCTATATTCCCATCAGATGTCACTCTTAACTCTTGCATTTTCTCTTCTAAAATATCAAATGCCGCTTCAAAATCTGAATTGTTCGTATTTTTTCTGTTTAGGAGTTCGTTAAAACTATTCAGCGCCCTTGTAAATGTGATTCGTTATACTGCCCCCCTCCTCTTTGCCAACTGCATTTTTTTCAAAACGACGTACGAAATAACACGAAATTTCACATTTTAATGTAACAGATCCCCAGCGTCCTGTCACGGTCACCAAATGTTGAATTAGCAGGAGCTGGGTAAAAATTAAAGCGTGGGCAAAATAAAATTCGCCGTATCGAAAAAGAGGTTATAGGCTTTATTTTAGAGATACTTGAGGGAGCACGTCCGACAAGATACGTCTCTTCTCGACATTTTTGCATGCAGCATTTTTGGATTTTCTTTCACAGTGGGAAAACTCTCCCACTACATATACACCCTTTCAGGCCATGTCATAAATTTCTTATGTCTACTCCAACAATTACTTTGCATAAATGTCTATAACAATTATAAAAATTACCAATGTTACTTAAAACAAAAAATGTGAATAATTTAGGTAAGCAAGGTAAAAAAGGATATCACAATAAATGATTTTTTATTTCTTTCAGAATATTATATATTTGATGTCAATATGCGAATCATTTAATTTGAAGTATTTAAAGGAAATAGGTCCGTGGTTTTCTAACACTGAAAAGTGGCATACGATTTCTATGATGAATACGTTTTGGCAACGGGAATTTGATTTTCGAATCATGAAATTGTGTTACTTGAGGTCTTCTGCAATTTGCTGCTTTCACAACTTCAACTTTAATAATCTGAATTGAATGGGCACGAGCACGGTGACGAGCACCCATATCTCTATAACATTGTGTTACAGCACCACTAACTGAAAGATCTCTGTATTCTCTATACATGTTATGAGTTCCAGATCGTGAGTCGTATCTTAACCAAATACCAAAATTCTTGATTTTAACTGGAGTCTTTTCTGGTATCTATAAAATAACATATTTAATGATAGTTATCTGATAATAATTTATACCAAAGTTCAAAGTAATGATTACCTGTTTTAAAGAAACAATTTCGCCAGTTGATTTCTTAAATTTTTTGAGTTGACGTAAAAAATACCAAAATCTAGATTTTGCAACAATAGCATCAGGTGCAAATATTCTCATTTTATACAATGGTGTTGTTTTTTCTTTTTCAGTTGGTAACTTACGACCAATAACTTCAAACTCCTTCAACTGGAAAACAATATTATAAATTATTTTATCTTGTATTATTTAAACATTTACTTCTTTTTTTCACTTTCAATCTTTCCATTTTCTTTTCTCTCTTTTTTTTTTTTTATTAATTAGTTTCATAAGTTATTTTTAGTTTAGATGCATATACACTGCAATTAATTCTCACATTATGGTATATTACACGTAGAAAATAAGAACTATTTCATATTGATATCTACCATACCTTACCATACTATAGTTTATATTTAAATTTTAAACAAACAGTGATAAAGTTTTAGTAAAGTTTTGATAAAGTTTTAAATTATAATGTGAACATGTGTCGGATTACACTATTTTAGGTTAAGTTATTGTTAATATCAAATTTAATTTCACTTTTACAATCTCAGATAAACTTTTATAATTTATAGAGTATAGTTATTACAGTAGGTTTTCTGTAGTTGAAAGATATAATAAATTTTAAACATAATTTTAAACAGTTACTTACTTCACCTTTGGCTTTCATTTTGCCGTGCGTACGATACGATGGTAAACCGGAAAAAGATCATGGTATCTTTGTCTAATTCGGAAGCGAAGCCATTTAATTTTCTAGTGAATTATGATTTAACCACAGAAAAGATATTGTATAGACATTCAAGGAGATTTGATATCATACAAAATGAAATATCAGTTTTGAAAAAATCAATGGTTTTTTACTTTAAATGGTATTTTAGTCAATAGAATCGATAAGTTAATAGATACAAAAGAATCTTTTTCTTTCAAATAGGCATATTTATATCTTATATATTGTATTATCAATTGAAACAAACGATTTTTCTAGTTTGTCAAATTACTCGCAAAAGTATTGTCTTTAAATTGAGTTTGCATCACATCAATGACGATGTTTTACGGAGTAAAAAAGAATATCAAACATAGAATTAACTTAAGTTATTTTAGTTTACATCTTAATACAGTAGCTACTATTTCAAGATATAAAGGAATCTTTTAAAATTCCAAATGAATTATAAATATCTTAAATTTACTGCATAGCTTTTTTCTTGGTACCACTGTCTAAACATCTTTGTGAATGTTTGTGAAATTATTGATTAGTTTATTGATTAAGTTTTATTAAGAAAACGTGGCTATATATCAAAATTCTAATTTTTAATGCTTTACATTAGTTGCCTTATTGATACATTTAGTATGAAAGATACACTTGCCTATGAGAGCGGGAAAAAAAATCAAGTCAATGATACTTTGTTCAATACAGAGTGTCATACAAAAAAGAAGTCGGTTTGGTGTAAATTTTCGATATAAAATCTAATACTCTAGTATTGTAATACTAACATCTTCCATTTAAAGGATTATAATAACTTCAATTATTAACAGAATTGGGAACTCAAATAAAATATTTGAAATGTAAAAAAAATTTATGTATGTTCATAAGTATACATTGTATATAGAACCACACAAGGCTAATGGAAAATTGAAATTTGTACATATAATCGATAAAGGATTGATATTTCAAGAGTTATTAAAATTGTAATTAATTTGCGATGTTTCCACTGATTTAGATTTTTTATAATAGTTATAGAATATTCTCTGAAACTATTTCATCACCCGAAATCGATATTATAATAATTTTCAATCCCTGCACATATGTGCTTATTATGTTATGCTATGTATCAAATTATAATGTTATAACATTGTAATATTTGTCTTAACGTATATTATTTCACTACATATATGATCACATCCTTAATTAATAAAATCTTAAACATGTGATAACTCGTGCGTGTATATAACTATATATGTGTTTAGTTGAATATTGCAGATAAGGCAAGTAATGTCATAGCCAAATGTAAATTTTACTAGTATATATAAATGAGTATTAATACTTTCTCCATGTGTACACAGTTGGCCAAATATAGCCAGTAGTGTATTTTTATAAATATTTATTCATACTTGCATGAGTGACTTGCCATGGATTATTGTACATGTTATATGTATAGTTTTATAATTTTTCTATTTCTACATACTGTAAGGTTATATAATGTACACTGTAAAGTATAAATGCATGCATTTATCTATTATCTGTATCGTATTGTTTATTTTTATAGTTACATTTCTTTATTCTTATTAGTTCTTTTAAATTAATTGGGCATTTTCTGAACATTATTTTTCATATGTTTTAATTTATACTTCCATATTTTTATATACAGTAATATAATGATGAACTTTTTTATATGATTGCTTATGTGTAAACATATGTTTGTTATAATTCGACACACGTTTATTTTATATGAATTTGAAGTTTTTCTGAATTTTTTAATTATATATGCTTAAATATTTATATAACTATTAATTCCCATGCTATAGATAGAAATTTATATATATATATACATATTAAAAAATTTCAGAAAAGAGAATAAAAAGTTAAATTATAAACTGCATGTTCGTGTAAATATGCTAAATTGAAATGGAAAATGAATTGTAAATTGAGCTTTTTATCAATTTTAAGCTGTATTCGATTATGAATAAAATGACATGCAAACAATAAAATGCATATGTTATAATTCTTTTAATCTCCAATTATGTTATAAAATATTCCAAAATAACATATATAATCACATTTGATTACTTTATCATTATTTATATCATATTTGATTACTTTATGGATCAATGTGTTATAAGACATGGTGCTTTCCTTGTATATTTTTCATGGTACGAGTTAATAGACCAAATAAAATCAAAATTCTGCATTTATTGAATATCAAACTATTATGATGAGAGGTAGTTAGTATTAAGGCCAGAAAACAAAGTTTTTTTTATACATTTTCTTATCTAATATCTAGTATTGATAATTAATATCATTTCTTAAAAAATATTCTTTGTAAGACAATAGCAAATTCAGAAATACATGCTAAAATTAGACCATTTATAGCCTATTCTAAATATCAAAAGTTCTATTTGTATACTTAGATTAGATGATAAATTTTTAGTATTCTAAATATTTTTGTGCCATTGACAGTTGAGTACGATTAAATTTTGGTGGATATCATGAGGAGTAAGAGTGGATTAGAAATATAAAATTTCAGTTTCGACAATTCATGCAATTCATGATACAGATCTTGATATATATCATGTTTTTAATGCCATTGGACACAGTATTTGGCAATTAGACCTACTCTAAATCTAACTCAACCTAAATCTACCTAATTCAATTTAATGTAACTTGATTTACAATGGGTTAATTTGGTTAATATCCAAAGAATATGCTAAATGCAAAATACAGAGTATAATAGCACTGAAAATATGTTGAAATTTTGTATCTTCTGAATGAATGAATTTCTTAAGCTGAGATTTTACATATTGGGTTCACCCTATATCCTTATGATGTATCCTTTATTTCAATCAATATTAATATTAAGAATACACAATAAATAGAATTAATATTACAATAAATAGAATTAATATATAAATTTAATTTGTACTAATAAAATAGAACTAATATATAAATTTAATTGCATGTTGGTATATTCAACCGATGGAATACATGTAATATGTCTTTCACAAATTGATCCATCATAAATTGAGTATGTCTTGGAGTTGGAGCTAACCTTAATTTTTCCTCACCCTTTGGGACAGTTGGATAATTTATTGCTTGAACATAATGCCCCTTTTCTTTTATTAATAAATCAGCTAATTGACTACATAATAATGGATCACCGATCTGAAAGACAATTATAATTAAGTATAATAACATTAGTAACGTATAAGAAACTCTAATATCAAAAAGATTTACTTTAATCGGTATAATGTGAGAAGGTGATTGTTCTAATGGAAGACCTGCAGTGGTTAAAATAGATTTCATGTAAGCTACATTTTTGTGGAGACTAGATCTTAATGATCTTCCCTCATCCGAGGCTAAAATTTCAACAGCAGTTAAAGCACCATATAATACTGTTGGTGGTAATGAAGTTGTGAAAATAAAACCTGCTGCATAACTTCGTATTAAATCTATTAGTTTAGCAGATCCAACAATATAGCCACCAACATTGCCAAAAGCTTTTCCTAAAGTGCCAGATATAATATCCATTTTATGCAATACCCAATCTCTCTCTCCAATACCAGCACCTGAATATCCATATAATCCAACAGCATGAACTTCATCGACAAATGTTAAGGCATTATACTTATGTGCAATGTCACATAAATCTTCTAAAGGACATATATCACCTGTCATAGAATGCACTGTTTCAAATGCTACAATCTTTGGCACACTTTTATCTACTTTAGAAAGAAGTTCTTCAAGATGTTGTACATCATTGTGCCTAAAAATATGCTTTGGTACTCCACTGTTTCTTATGCCTTGGATCATGGATGCATGATTTCCAGCATCAGAGAAAATATGACAACATGGTAAAAGTTTTGCTAAAGTATATAAAGTAGAATCATTAGCAATAAAACAAGAAGTAAATAGTAAGCCAGCTTCTTTTTGATGCAAAAAGGCAAGTCTTTTCTCTAACATTTCATGTCCTAAAGAATTTCCAGATATGTTTCTTGTTCCTCCTGCTCCTGCACCAAATTTATCTAATGCTTCTCGAACAGAATCTGTTACTGCTGGATGTCGTGACATTCCTAAATAATCATTAGAACACCAAACAGTGATTGGTTTTTGCCCCCAAGAATATTCTATTGCACTTGGGAAGCTTTCTGCTAATCGATTTACTTTTTTAAATATCCTATAAGAATGGTCCTTTTTCTTTTTCATAATCTGTTCATGAAAAAATTCTTCATATGGAAAATTTGTTTTTTCTTTTAAATCTATGGATGATACACTGATGATATCCTCCTTAATCATAGGACTAGCTACTTTCACAGCATTATGTTTCTTAGCAAGGAATGGACATTGATTGTTTATGACTTCTTCAATTTGTTGAGTCTCAGCATTATTTACCTGATTGCTAGATTGTGAAAAAAATTGAGACATTACTGGGCAAAGCTGACGATAATTCATTATTAATGATGTTCCATAATTGCAAATATAATTTGTAGAAAATTGTGTCAAAAATGGACAAGACATGTTTTTTAAATTGCCTGAAACATAAAATCGAAATGCTATATGGTGTATAATTTATATTTAATATTATTTTTAAGTAATACGCAGCAAAAAAATTATGTAATAAGTATGATATTTTAAAAGATAACTTAGAATTGTTTCGTTTTAATAAAAGCGGTATCATACAAATATCCGTATAAAATATCAAATAAAATTGGTAAAAGAAAAAGTGAAATGACAAGTCACGATGATACGGCATTTAACAAATTTAAAATCTCTCACCTATTATAATGTTGGACAAATGAAATACGTTGATGTGATGGCTACAGTGACGAACACACTAAAATATATAAAATAGATACTGTTAAATATTAGGATCAGAGAAATTACAGTATGAGTAATTATCAAATGAACTCAATTTTGTCGTACAATTTAAAACTACAACCACAAACTCAACCTATCGCAGCGACAGATAGGCCACAACTGAATGCATCAGGTTTGCGAAGTTTGCTTATTAACAGTCTTAAAAAAGTTGAATCGATTCGAGAGGTCGAATAGGACCTTGTGTATGAACTCACATTCGATAACTTTCAAAAAATTATTATCGAATGACAAATGATCAATTTTATATAGATATTATGATTTAAGGTAAATAAGAATAAAATTTTAAATTCGGTTAAGTACTGGATTATTTTAACAAAAATAGATTTGCTTTACAGAATTTTATTTGAAGTAATAATAGATCTAGTTATTAAATATCGTGACTAATCTATTTATTATAGTATGATTATTATTGTCATACATCAGTACTTTGCGATTAAACAAGTAGACATAAATAGATATACTTTATCCTACAAAAAGAGTGTTAAATTTATACAAAGTTCTTTTTCCATTTGGTTTCCTGATTTTACTTATATTAACAATTTGTACTTTTAATAGAATGTTTGAGTATTTTCATATGCAATACATACAATATTAAATTTGACTGTAATAATATTGTAACCACTTACCATAATATCAAGATATTTTTTGATATTTGTACTAAAAGTTAATTATTAAAGATAACTAAACTCCTCGACATTTTAGCAGTTCGATGCACAAGTTAACCTAGCGTCTTTACGACTAATCAAATTGTGCGTTTGTTGTATGTAATATTTAATGTACCCCCATTCTAGTTACATTACATTTTTCCTTTCTATTCTGCAAATTCATGTCTATTCTAGATGCAGACAAACAACGAATCATTATCGTTGAAAGTCATCGTTAAAATTCAGTTCACATTCAATAAGTTCATGCGTCAAAATGTGCTCTATTTTATCGATATGCATACGCGTGTATTCATAATAAATGATTTAATATTATTTAAATTAGTAAATGTCATTGCAAGAAAATATAATAATAATGAACTTGTGGTTTTTTATGTTATTCTAGCATTACCTTGAACGCATTTTTATGGTCGATCGCAATAACATTGGAAATAATGTTTTACTATTTATGATATTATTACATGATAATAATCTATATTATTAATTATTCCTTATACGTAATTATTCTGTGATTCAATGCCTTGTATTATAGCCCTTTATTATTATTATGTAAACAAATGTTATATGTTGCGGTAATTAATAATTCAAATAATGAAATGTAATTAATTGTGATTTTGTTATCATTTTATTATGACTTCTTTAGAAAATGCTAAGTTTCGATAATTAATTTATTTACATTGTATTAAAAGAATATTAATTATTAAGTTTAAGTTATATCATCATAAGTATAATACTATATAATTTGAAAAATTCTCATTCACTTTTATTATAGCAAATATTTTCTACTGACGTTTTACTTAGGATTCATGTATGCGATGATGAAAAGTGCTTTGTTAATTCGAACTGCTCGTGATCAAATTTTAGTAACTCAATAGTTCGAATAAATATAATTTTTCAAATAAAGTATTTTCTTATTTATGAAAGAAATCAGGCAATACTTTATTAATTCTTATTAAAATATCTATAAATGTAATACATTTTATAGTTTTCAAAATTAGGACAGAAATAGATATTTCTATCAAATCATTTTGGTTTAATTAGTTTTACTTGTTTACAATTAGTGATTAAGTCATGATCTAATTTAATTTCGATTTTACATTTGATTTTATAATTATTCCTATTTTTGAAATATTCTCCGGAAACTGAGAAAAACACTATGAATAACATTAGTTTATGTTCATTGTTCAATAGGACTTTGAGACCATTTTGAAGGCAAACAAAACGATGAAATAGATTTTTATCAAAGATATTGTTAAAAATTCTCTTTCACAGTTTCTAAAGTAAACACCAACGAAATCATTTTGTTGCTAACTCTCGTTTGGAACTTGTCTTATTTATATGTGTAGGTGTTACATCATGTACAGAGAAAATATTCATACACAATCTAAAAGGAACAGCCAATCAGAACACGACAGCACTGCGAGCCTACTCTAGCTAACTTCTTGTAAAAGCCACGTCTTCGAAAGGCAGTGTCTTCGGAAGAAAGATTGTGGCTTGAATTTAACTTAAAAATAAGTGCTGTAATTTACAATGGTACCTAAGTATTTTAGTTTTCTTTTCTTGGGCTTCGTTACCGTTTGGGCTGTAGAGAAAGATGTAGTGGAACTTACGGACGAAACTTTTAGCCATGAATTAGAGCAACATGAGAACACGCTTGTTATGTTTTACGCCCCATGGTAAGAAATCTCTGTTTAATAATTGTATATTTTTAAAGTAGAAGAATTAAAAATGTTTCCTCTTATTCTGTTATAAGTATTAAAATTGCGAACAAACTGATTAAAAAAACGTATTCTTAATATTGAGATCTTGAAAATTTTAAGTATACCGGCTTGTGATCTGTTAATAACCGAGAACATATCCTATTTTATGTAATTATCCTTGTTTTTATATTAAAAGTGCTACTATAATTTTAATTGTTATATAACTTTCAAAAATATAAAATTCAAAATTATGCATGGAGCATAGATTTTTATGTATTTAATATTGAATGCTCAGGTGTGGTCATTGCAAACGATTAAAGCCTGAATATGCAAAAGCTGCTGAAATGCTCTTGGGTAATGATCCTCCAATTACTCTTGCCAAAGTAGATTGTACAGAAAGTGGAAAGGATACGTGTAACAAGTATTCAGTTAATGGTTATCCAACATTGAAAATTTTTTCTAGAGGTGATTTTATTAATGATTATAATGGACCAAGAGAAGCTGCTGGCATTGCTAAATATATGAAGGTGATTTGAATTTTAATAAGAGAGTTATTTGATTAATTTTAATACATATTTATTTTATACTAGTTTTAATATTTTACTACATATAATTAATTTTAACATGTTATAGGCACAAGTTGGCCCAGCATCCAAAGAATTAACTGAAGAAAGTTGTTTGAAATCATTCTTAGAGTCTGATGAAGTAGGAGTTGTAGGTTTCTTTGAAAAAGAAGACTCACCCTTAGCAACATCCTTCCATGCTGTTTCTAAGAAACTTAAAGAAAAAGTCAGATTTGCACATACAACTGCCAAGTCACTTTTGGAGAAGGAAGGATATAAGTAATTTATTTGTATTATCGTACATTTATTTTAAGAGCAGTATTAAATATAGAATAAAACTTTCATTTTTATTTTTAGGAATACTATTATTTTATATAGACCAAAAATTTTACAAAATAAATTTGAACCAAGCACAGTGAAATACGTTGAATCAATGGGTGATATTCAAGAATTTATTAACAAAAATTAGTGAGTTTTCTAAACATTTTTTTCATTGACATTATATTTGAATCAGAAATGTTTGCTCTAATTAAATATATATTCCAGCTTTGGTATTGCGGGTGTTCGTACACGTGATAATGCAGGAGAATTTAAAAATCCATTAGTTGTTGCGTACTATGCAGTAGATTATGTTAAGAATCATAAAGGTACAAATTACTGGCGCAACAGAATTATCAAAGTTGCTAAAGACTTCCCTAAGTTGAACTTTGCTATTTCTTCCAAAGACGACTTCCAGCATGAATTAAATGATTTTGGTATTGATTTTGTCAAAGGTGATAAACCTGTAATTTTGGCAAGAAACATTAATAATCAAAAATTTGTCATGAAAGATGAATTTTCCGTTGATACATTCGAGGCATTCTTAAAAGATATGGAAACTGGTGCTTTAGAACCATATCTCAAGTCTGAACCAGTTCCTGAAGATAACACTGGAAATGTTAAAGTCGCGGTAGCCCGAAATTTCGATGAAATTGTTACAAATAACGGCAAAGATACTTTGATAGAATTTTATGCTCCTTGGTGTGGTCACTGTAAGAAATTGGTACCTGTTTACGATGAGTTGGGTGAAAAACTAGCGGATGAAGATATCGAAATCGTGAAGTTCGATGCTACCGCTAATGATGTTCCTGCTCCATACGAAGTTGGTGGATTCCCAACACTTTATTGGGCACCTAAAAACTCCAAGAATAACCCAGTTAAATATGAAGGTGGCAGAGAATTTGACGATTTCATCAAATATATTGCCAAACATGCGACTAATGGACTGAAGGGATATGATCGCAAGGGCAAAGCTGTTAAACCGAAGAGTGATGAATTGTAAATTTTTTCACAGGAGATATGAGATTGTTCATTATAATTTTTATATATGTCTCAGCAGCAAAACTTGGAGTGAAATTTGTCTTGTGCGACTTATGAGTGTGATAAAAGTGGCATACAGTTAAAAATGTAATGGCTAAAAATTTTTCTAGTATCAGAGACAGATTTGATCAAAAAAAAATTAAAGACCCTCAGTAACGCGACTGCATTTATTTTATAAAAATGAAGTGAAAAAATATGATTAGAATAGAACTGTCTGTATACATTATGTAACTTTATAATGTTGTATATCGTGTAAAACTTTGCAGAACTGATTTAGAAGTATCATCTAAATGTTTTCCAGATCTAAGAAATTATATCTGAGATTTAATTTTCCATTCCGTTTTTCATATTTGACTATATACTAAGTTGAATACGATTTTTTTGTTTGTATTAAAAGTAAAATAATCTGTTTTTACAGAATTTTATGCACTGAAGCGAATGATACATCTCTATAATTTAAAAACTTCCTAATATGTGATTTCTAGAAAATTACATTTTAAAATAAAAAATTTTGTTTAATAAATCTTGTAAATGAAAATTTACTAAGTGACATATTTTATACATTTGTGTACCTTCACAGATTCCTTTTAAATTCTAGAAAATTTCTTTATTTGAATTTGCAAATTTAAATGTACAAATATTGAACTAAATCAGGAGTAATAGTTTACAAGCATCCATAAGTAATTTTTATTATTAATTACAACATATTATAGTAATTATAGAGTAAATGTCTTATATTAAGTCTGATTAACTATAGAGCGATCTGTTAGAATTGAAAAAAAACTCCTGACTTTATTCTTTTAACTGTAAAAAACGTACTCTTCCTTTTTTTATTTGTATTGAGAAAGTATTAGATACAAATAATCGATTTTTTGTTTTTTGCAGATTTTGTAAATTCGCTAGTGATTCATTAAATTATAACATCGTAAGACTGTTCATAGAGAACTATGTAACTGTAGAAAACAGTATTTCCTATTTTTTGTCTCTACACCCGGTTCATGTGTATAATAAGTATATTATTTTGATCCTTGAAGTCAAAGGATTAACGTGATAGCTTACCATGTGTATATATGTATATAAATTTGCTTGTATCAGAAAAAAAAAAAGAAAAAAAAGAAAAAAAAGGAATAAAGCGGATCATATTTTTGATGCTGCTTCATATAATGACAGCGAAAAAGAAATGTTAAAAAAAATCATGGGGTATTTATGAAGGCATAATACCTCATCTATTCCAAGAATGGTGATATTTTATATACAATCTTTAATCCTATGTGGACCAAACATGTAAATCAACAAAATGTATTTTTTTCGCTTGTGTATATAGACAATAACGAATTTAGTAGACGCTATGACATATACAAAATATTACCATTTTGATCCTATCAAACAGAAATTTTAAATGCTTTAATTTCATTCAAACAACTTTATGCTTATAACAATTTTTAATGTTTTTCATTACAAAATGTGATTATACCGTTTACTCATTTCTTCTTTTTTGTTTCTTTAAAGTATATCACTGAAAACTCAGTCTTCATGATTTTTCTATAATAATTAAAAATCATTCTATTTTGATAAGGATCAAAACAATAAATAATTACGAAGATAATATATTGATATTCTAATAATCCATAGCATAGCTTATAAAAACTGCGGTAATGTTTGTACAAATTTTTAGTAATTTATTTCATGTTAAAACACGATCGCACTTATTGCAGCATTAAGGAAAGAGTCCATAAAGGATTAACTGATACAATCATAATTAACAGTACATTTTTCGGAAATTATTATAAAAGAATATCTGCAAATTTTGCAACGGATTTTAATTTGCAAATATAATACTTTTAGACCATGAAATTTTTATAATTACAATTTTTTTTTCTGAACAGTATATTTTATTTAAATGTTATAAAAGATTTGATTGTTCTTTGTTTTCTCAATAAACTTTGTGCTTTAAAGTATTAAGCAACTATTTATACTTTCTAATTATAGAAAACTGGCATATATTTGTAAATTTATTGACATATATTTATATATTTATAAATTCTTGGTAAATAAAATTTTAAACCGTTGCAAAATTTGATTGCAACCTGACGAAGTTTCGGTCAAAAGCGTAATTCAACAGTAGTACTGCTAATTGTTAAAAAAAGTTTGTTGAACACAATTCCACAGTCATTCATTAAATCAATGGCCAAGACTGCATTGCAGTCGTTAATTCAATAGTTCTTGCAAAAAACAACTACCTTATGAGCCTTATAGATTAGTTTTAATAGAAGATACGTAAGATTAAAAGTTTAGAGCAGTATGTATACAAATGAAGAAGAGAAACTGGAAAAAAATAAAATAGAAAGGGGAGAAAAAATATAGGATAACTTAATAGACTCGACAATCATTTTGTAAAGGTAACTTGAAACTATAAAAATTAATTTACCTGTAAAGGTAAATTAATCAGTGTGCTTGAAGGATACATTACTTTCAATTGAAATATAGTTGAGAAATATCGTCAAAATCACATAATATCACTATGAAAATCAACGGTTTTTGAAATTTGTTCATCCTAAATCATTAATTTAGGACGATTACATTGTTCACATTGAATAATTTGAGAAAGCATCGCGTAATAAAACGCAACCAAGACATAGTTTGTGTGCTTTGCTTGGATACAAAGAATGTGTTGTCGAAATATATAAATATAATATAGCCGCTATTACATTCCGTAATGTTAGTGTCATCGTTTTACAATAATATAATAATAAAAATAATCAATAATAATTATAATTATTAATAGTAGTAACAGTAGCAGTAGCAGTAGCAGTAGCAGTAGCAGTAGCAGTAGCAGTAGCAGTAGCAGTAGCAGTAGCAGTAGCAGTAGCAGTAGTAGAAGTAATAGTAGCAGTAGCAGTAGAGGGGTAGTAGGAGTAGTAGCAGTACTAACAATAGTAGTAGCAGTAGTAATAGCGGTGGTAGTAATAATAGTAGTGGTGGTGGTAATGATAGTAGTAGCAGCGATGGTAGTGATCGTAGTAGTAGTAGCAGCAGCAGCAGTAGCAGTAGCAGTAGCAGTGGTAGTAGTAATAGTAGTAGTGGTAGTAGTAGTAGTAGCAGTAGTAGAAGTAGTAGTAGTAGTAGCAGCAGTAGAAGAAGTAGTAGTAGTAGAAGTAGTAGCAGTCGCAGTAGCAACAGCAATAGCAACAGCAGCAGTAGCAGTAGCAATAATAATAATGACACTAATAATAATAATAACTAATAATAATAATAATAATGATAGTACTAGTAGTAATAATATAATGATGATGATGATGATGATGATGATAATAATAATAATTAATAATAATTAATAATAATAATAACTAATAATAATAATAATAATAATAATAATAATAATAATAATAACAACTAATAATAATACATTTAGCCTAGTTGGTATCTTAAAGATCAAAGTGATCCGCTGGTCTACTTACGCAATTTCATAATATAAAGTTCGTTACTTTTTTTTGTTTAAGAAATATAGAAATAATGCGATGGTTCAATAAAATAGCGACGCAACATTTGGAATTCTTAACATTTTGTTTTAAATTCTTACATTGCTTTCTATGACTTTGCATTGCATACTACACTTATACTCTCCCCCTTTTCTCTTTTTATACTTTGTTACGAATTCCCCCAACTCTTTTCTTCCCTTCTTTCCACTTTCTTTTTATTATCAAAAATAAACAGCAACTACGATTAAAAAAAAAGAGATGTAGAATGCATATAATAGTAATGAAATACTAATAATAATAGTAATAATTACTACAATGATATAGATAGTTATGTACCGTAATTGTAAATAGTTGGTATGACAATTGTTTAATTGTTTAAACTCGAAGCACAATTCATTACCATTAAAAAATACAATCAAGGAGTCATTACAATATACATTATAGTTTCTCATATATAGCACATATACTTGTATTAAATTTAGTCAATAGTTTAAGTCTCCGGTTTCATCAATGAGTTTTTTTTATACTGTGGGCGTATTTTGTAGTTGTTTTTCTTTTTTTTATAGATTTGTTTTATTGTGTAAAATAATTAAAGATAAGTTGTTATTATATTATGGTTTCCGCTGGGGGTCTCCGGCATAACAACTAGCTTCATTGCAACTAGCAATTCCATTAGTGTTGTCTCGTTATTGGTGATAGTTCAAGAATTATAGGAGCCAACATCTTCCCTTCTTCTTCTTTTTTACCTACGAACTCACATAATTTTTATAATAACGTCTGTTCAGGTTATATTCAATTTCAAAGAAACCTATAATAAACAATACTTACTTGTAGCGCTGCCCGAGTGGCTGTTTCAAATACTTCCCTAATACCATCCTTACTTTTAGCAGAACATTCAAGATAAGCAAAAGCACTGATTTTTTCGGCCATAGCTCTACCTTCTTCTGGCTTAACTGGCTCTTGTTTCATCTTGCTAAGCTCCTTAATGGTATTAGGATCATTGCGCAAGTCTCTTTTGTTTCCAACAAGGATAATGGGCACATTTGGGCAGAAGTGTTTCACCTCTGGTGTCCACTTCTCGGGAATGTTCTCCAAGGAATCGGGACTATCGATAGAGAAACACATTAGAATTACATCTGTGTCGGGATATGACAATGGACGCAACCTATCGTAATCTTCTTGTCCAGCTGTATCCCAGAGAGCCAGTTCAACCTGTTATGGGAGATGTTTTTTAAAGACATCCAGAAAAAATGTACAAAAATATTCCAATATATCAAATAATTTCATAAAGCACCAACCTGCTTCCCATCAACTTCAATGTCTGCAACATAGTTCTCAAACACTGTAGGTACATAAACTTCAGGAAACTGGTCTTTGCTGAAGACTATGAGTAAGCATGTTTTACCACAAGCACCATCACCCACAATAACCAGTTTCTTCCTAATGGCTGCCATGAATTCTAAAATGTAAATCATCACATACTTTTTTATTAGTACCCCAATACATACTACACCATTAAAATTATAACTGTATGCATGTAACTTTAATCATTAAATTATATCTATTAATGCAAAGACAAGAAATATACATTCATTTCACATTAGTAACAAATTTTTAATTACATAATTTAGAAATATTTAATATTTTAATTGTCACTTTTAATAGTTATTGTAAACAAGTATACATATATTTCAAGATTCTTTTAATAACTTACCCTTATACAAATAATATAATTTTGCGTGACATAACTATTCACATAAAAATGAGTGTTTATTTAATTTTAACAAGTAATATTTTTCTTGCAATAGTAATTAATATATACAGAAAATATACACTTAATTTTGATATGTATCAGAGTAAAGTAACAAATATACACATCTAATTTCTCTTATCATATGCGCGCGCGCATACACGCATACACGCATACACACGACACGCACACGCCCACAGCACATACGCGCATATATATATGTATGTGTGTGTGTGTGTGTGTGTGCAATCAGAAATTTATAAATTGCAAACACTAGTATGGAAATCATACATCATATATGAATAAATTCTAATTGCATATTTATACAATAGATGCAAGGAATACCTTTAGAAACTACTTGGTGATAACAAATCTAAATCAACTGAATTAATATCTTGGAAACACTACCCAAAATTAGTTCAACTAAGGGCATGCAGTGAGTGAACACATAAATACACATAAGATAAGGTAATCACAACTTAATAGGAAACACAATGAATGTTGAAAAGATGTAATCAATATCAATATGAATAAAAACTGCTTCTCCTGCACCATGATAAGGCATAAATAAGTAAAAAGCAATTTCAAGTAGATAAATACAACTATAAGTAGATATAAAGATATAAAGGAAACAGTAAAAGAGACTGAGAAAAAGCATTCTTCAGGATAGAGTTAGGAAGAAATTAGGGTAATTTTTTGAAATTATTCAATTAGATTCACTTTCTGACAATGCTATAAACAATGATTTGAATTCAAACCTCGTAGGGTACAAAATTTGTCACCTAAAAGTATTGTATCCATTTATGTTTAAACAGAGTACTAAATTGATACTAGCATTACAAATATAATAGCATACACTCCCTACAGCCCTCTGTTTACTTAAATTTATATTACTAAAAACTGCCTCTATTTTCATAATTGTTTGCTACTTACATATTGGGTAGAATAGGTAAGACATTTTCATATCTATATTTTATGTCTACTTTAGTACTATTTAAAAAGCAACCTACGAGGGCTGAAAATTGAAAGGATATTGATTGGGTCGTACCTGATCCAGGGTACCCCGTATCGTCTGGACCTAGGCATCGGCCCATATTGCATCCCATGTTTTTAGTCTTTCTTTCAGCGTCTCTGCTTTAAGTGGACATTTTATATGTTAGAATGGATAAAAGGCTGTGAGATACTTGCATGTACTACACAGGTGTCATAAAATAATAGGATATATATGTAAATATATATCCACATGCTTGTTCATATCATAGTTATATATTTAAATATCTGTAAAAGTATTAAATATAATCTATGATCGCTAAATGACATTTTAAATATTTTAATTCGTAACTCTTTCCTTCCGATATACATGAAAATATGTACACTACAAGGCTCTGCAAAAATGCCAAAGACTAAATATAATATGAATTTTATGTTACCATAGTGTTATCATAATGTTATCAGAATGTTATCAGAATGACTTCATATACACATTTAGATCAAAGATTATAGAATTCTGAAGTGCATAAGGTAGAGCCTTAGCAATTATGTATAAGAAAAGAAAGATGTATTATGCATACTACTTAATTAATTAATTAATATAGGAAAGAACTTGCATATCATTATATTATATGTAAGACAATACCTTATGCTTTACAAAAAAACATAATGTCTTTAAAGAACATGCATAAACATATAATAAGATTGATAATTCTTTTTATTAAACATGCACTATTAAGAAATATATGTACCCATGAAAAATTATGTTTAAGAAGCATAAATTAAATATAATAGACAACACATTTACATTGTACACAGATAAAAATATAATGAAACAAGTTATAATTATATAATACTTATTCAAAGGCAATGATAAATAAATATGTATATATTTAAAATGATGTGTATTATAATATATTTTAAAGTATTGAAATCTTTCAGAATACAGAAACCTACTAATTAGAATTCTTTACTATAATACAAATATGCTTTGGAAATTCATTACTTTTAAGTATTTATCCTTTGTTTTATGTAGATTACACTTGTTAATATACAAAGGAAAATTCTAATTTAGAAAATTTTGTACGGATCATAAGCAAGGATTTTAGCGTAAAATATAGTCTAGTACAGCAAAAGCAATGCAAATATAGACCATATATGTTAATGTTAAGGCAATAGAATTTATATAAATCTTTAAATTTCATACCCTGTTAAGAATTTAAGAAATTATTGATTAAAGGATAATATAATATTTTATGTTAATACTCAATACAGATGAAATTATTCAAATTATATTAAACTTTTATATTACATTTTTTTTCTTAATTTTCATTTGCTATACATATAGAATGTTTAAAATGGCATAATTTATAGATATATTCTAAATAAATAGAGCTCAATTGTTAATCAAAAATCAATGTATGTTTGATTTTTATTTTTATTAGCACATGAAAACTTTGATGAAATCATCTCAAAGGTGTAAAACGAAAAAGTAAGTAAAAGGTACGCGAACATTTTGTGGTATGGATAAAAACGCGAATTTCTACCGTATCAAAGACCGCACCGACCTTTTGTTTATTGTAGTTCTGAAACGTCGGTTGACACAGTAAACGATGATGGAGGAATGTCAAGACGAAACCATGACACAGATCTTTACTTACTAGATTTCCAGACAGGGACCCGGAGCTTTTTGCCGAATTTTGCATAGCCGGAAGTGCAATGCCGAAACCGGGGGAGGGGGGAGGCTGAGACGGGAGGATGAGGGCGCTGGGGGTGCGACAGGATAGCGACGCAGGGGTCTAGAGCTTGGGGGACGATTTACATACTGAATAAAAGCCCAGGTCGTATTCGAACTGGTACAAACGATCCCAAATTAGTGATTGAATTCAGTCGCGATGAACAGCGTGTCGTTTCTCGAATGATGAACTAAACGGTCGTCATGCGAAGATGCTGTAGATTCGTAACGCATGGCACTCCCTCGGCCCTCTCTCTATCACGGGAGAAGGAGAAGGTTTTTTCCCTCCTTGACACACAGAGTTCCCGGTTGCGCCGTTAACAAACGGATATATAGCACGCTTAAACCACTCGGGCACACAACACAGCACACTCTCACACTACTCCAACCAGTATTACTTAAGAAATAATTGCGTATTTACCTGAAATGTTAAGCGACAGAAAGTCAAGAAGATGGCTGCCCTCGATGGCCACACCTCAATCTGTGAGTGTGCGGCAATCGAGTAGTAAGGGGTGGGGGGGGGACATTATGCCCAGGATTGTACTAATGATTTAGTAAGGCCCTTTCTTAGAAATTTACGAAATATTCTCAGATTAACGACACATTTCCCACTAAATCTTTACCAATGTTATGACAATAGTTATCAAATAATGTATATTTTTTATAACTTGACTTTCAAAGCAGAAAGATGCACATGATTAAAAGTTAATATTGATGGAAAAACATAATGACAATTACTAATAATAAATATATTTACATAATTACAAAAAAATTATTGTTTACTAAATTTACTCTAATAAGAAGTTTCTGAGCTCATATGCATTTTTAGTAATGATCATGCAATAGTCTTATTTACAATAAAAGTATTATAGTCCTAGAAAGTTTAATAGTACAGACAATACATCTTAAAAAATTTAATAGCTATTATATATTTAAATGAAAATATCATAGCAGTTTTTCTTTAATAAAAACATGTTTAATTTAGTCAATAAATGATACATCCCTGGGCAAACTACGAAACTAGCGAATCATGCGCCACGGCGCACATCAGGAACTTCTGGAGGGACTTTGCGCACGCAACATCACGTTTTTCAGATGTATTTGTGGGTGAATGACGGAAAGGGTTGGAAAATATGTAAATAATGCTGCATCGCAACTTGATTACCTATCGCCTTTGATATGTAACATGTGAAAATTATGACTTTATAATTATAATTTTATAATCAGGAAATAAATAAGAAATTAGTATAAATAATTTGCATCCAAATATAATATATTTGAAATTTTTTCTAATTTACATCATAATTATTATTTTTTACCAATATAACTTTATTTTAAAAATATAAACATTATTTTTCACTAAAAAACACATATGACAGATTATATGAATAACTCATATAATGGATATAACTTACATATCTGTAGATTGGTATAACGTACGGCATAGAGGTTGTATGAACAATGCAAACACGCCTAAAAAATTAAACTTAGCCGGTAAAAAAAAAGAGAAACACTTGTTTTCATAAAAGATTCACTATTACCATTTTATTACGTTATCATGTTATTTTATTATTATTTTTTGAGTAATATAACAGTTTAATAGATATTTGCAAATTATATACGTATTTCATAATATAATAAAAAAATGTATCAATAAGAATAATTTAATCAGTGATGATATTTATCTGTAGAAATGAATGATAAATGAGAATGAAGTTATCTACAAACATGAATTTACATACATGTAAATGTGAAAACAAATTAAAGCATGAAATATAAAAATGTTTGTGTGCATGTGTCATCTCGTATGTACCAAATAAGGATGATGTCACTACTGTATGACGCATAAAGGAATTGACATGTCCTATCAATTCAGAAGAACACATTAAACAAAGGAATCGAACTTCTGAATTTCTTTGATCCACTTTTTAAAAATATAACAGTACATTTATAGGATCAAAAATGTATTTTATATATTGCAGTAATTATTCTTTTGTTGAAATTCATATATAATATATCAATAGTTGCAAAATGACTAAAGGGATAAATAAAATAGTTTGAAAATACTTAATAATACATGTTTATATATTTAATATGCTTTCAATTATGTACATTTTTCACTGTGAAGCCAGCTAATATTATAATTTCTTAAATATTTTAAGTTTTCTAATACTTTCATAACTAATTTAAAAATAAAGTAGTTAATATAGGGAACATTAAAGCATGTAATAAGAAACACAATTTCTTTTTTGTTATGTAGTAATTTATCATACAGAAGAAGACTTTTAAAGTAAGAATTGTATTGTACTATACAAATCAGCTAGAATTAAAATAGATTCAGTGCCATATTGTATGGCATAAAAAGCAACAATTGATACATGTTCAAATGTCATTTATAATATATTCATTGTATTTTGACATTTATCTGATTTTCATATATCAAACATTGCCAGCACACATTCAAAGGACAAAGTGTTATGTTTTATTGAATAATTAAGTTATAAGAAAAGTCCAATAGTGTATGCATATGAATATTATTTTAAGATAATGATAATGTAAGTTAATCTTAGCCACAATTTTTCATTTGTTTCCTTATTAAAAAATGATACACACTATTCTGTAAATATGTACGTATCACTTAAATTTACTTCCATTTACTTCCATTTTATATAGAATCTTTATAGTATATTATAATCACAGCATTTTAATTTTGTTGTGGTGGATCTGGATCATTTTGATTTCCTCCCATTTGCCGTCTTAAAGATTCAATTAAATCAGGATTAACATCTTGCAACTGTTGTGCAAACTCTTGACCACTATAAAATTTTTTAAATATAATATAGTTTCATATGATGTTATACATTGAAATATTGAAAAATATTAACACTTACGCTTCTATAAGGGCATCCAAATGTCCTCCTTCTGCTTGTCCACTCATATAATTGCTCACCATATTTTGGAGAACTGGATTGGATAACATCTGACGAGCCATATTCATTAGAGCAGGATTACTCAAGAGCGAATTGAGATCCATGCCTGGCCATGTGCCTCCACCTAATCCCATATTACTCATATTTGACTGAGCTAATTTTTCTTCTGCCACTTGTAAATTATTTTTATAACTTTCATTGTCAGGCTCCATCTCCAAAGCCTTCTGATAGCTTTCTTTAGCTTCTTTATGTTTTTGTAAGCTAGAATATGCCAAACCTAATCGACCATATGCTTTACTATATGAAGGATCGATGGACAATGCGTCAAGGCAATCTGCAATTGCTTGTTGATAATTGCCAATTTTACTATAAGCTGCAGCACGGTTACAATAATACACTGCATTATGATTGTCTAATTGAATTGCCCTGAAGAAACAATATTATACTGTTGCATATAATGTCTTCATGAAAAAAATATATATATATATCTTACTCATGGTCAAAAAAAAAATATATACTTTGTATAATTGGCAAGAGCCTCATGGTGTTTTTCAGCCTTCATGAGAGCATTTCCTTCGTTTTTCAATTTCTCAGCTTCAGCTTTTGCTTCTGGGGTAGCTATTGGAGCTAAATGAGGTTTTGCATTTTCCATGAAAGTCTTATACATTTCATATAAATTAAAGTTTGTTGGAGTATCAGATGCTTGTACATTATAAGCACTCTCTAAACACTGTATTGCTACTTCAAGACTTTCTCGAGAGTCTGCTGTAATATCACCTTCTTCTAATTGTTGAGTTAAGAATTGAACAATTGCTGCTACTAGTCCTTTGACAGCCATTACTGCTTTAAAGGAACGATTCTATTTAGAATAATAAAATCAATCACATGATAATTACACTTTATACTATAATAATGACGTAAATATAGGGTATTTAATATCATTTCGTAATGGAAGATTTCTGATACGTGTCATAACCACAAAATACTTTTCCGATTACTCAGAAAAAATAAACCGTATCGATTAAAGCAAAAACATGATTGTTTTAACAAGATTAGTTAAAATATTACCGGCAATATAGTACTTGTTAAATGTTTTGTTATGCCAATTCATCGTACATAAATTAACATAACCAAAAAAACGTGCCGGACAAAAGAAGACGCAATTAAATTTTGTCAATTATGCTTCAATCTTTTTAACTTGCTAAGGATACTTTATCTAGTATAATTGAATTAAACACATTAGATAACATACGATTGTATATGAATTATGAATTGCTTACTATTAACTAAAGATAAGTAAAAGTTTCAATTACAGTGACACGATACCCTAACAATTTCGTTTTATGTCATTAGCTTTATAACATCTCCAATATTTCTGCAAATAAAAGAATACTTTTTTCAGTTAAATATACCTTCAAATTTTAAACGAAGTGTCACACGGCACAACGAAGGAACTGCAATGTATTTCGATGGCTTCCACTAAAAAAGCGAAACCTTAACACTTCCTATCCTGTCGGTTACAGAACTTGCTGTGAAGTACTACTATGCCCACTCTAGAAATGTTTACGATTACGAAGTTTAATTACTTATATTTCCATGTGGTGATTTTTATATCATTTGATTGTTCTTTGAATCTCTTTTATAGAAATGAATAAATTAAAGTCCGGTGCTTTCGTTGGAATCGCGATGTCTCAATTCGATTAATATTGAATCTACTTTTTACATAAATATTTTAAAAGAGACATCTTATTTATTGGAATAAAATATAACTGTTCGGATATTAAATGACACAAATATAATAACAATTCAGTACGGAAGAATATAATGTATATAATATCTATATTATGAACATACAAGTGTATGTGCGCGCATATGTATAGGATGCGCGAGTGTGTGTATATGCATATACATATATATAAATTTTCAATTACTTTACACTAAATTGTATATAATGTATGAGCACTAGTTTATAAATAATGATAATAAATTAATAATGATAAATAAATTCATATAATAAGATTATTGTAAAATTATTAGGGACCCTGCTTTATGATACGTAGCATCGTGCTATTCATACTCGTGCCCGCAAAAATATAATGATTTTCCAAGTGATAGAACGGCACCGTTGTTTGTAAATCATCGATTTGGTGTTGTATCCTCAGTTGAAATTTCTTAAAATAATCATTTTATAACATAAATTTATAGACTAAATTATACGAACAACTTAATCAATAAAGTAACATGGCCTTACTTGGGCATACATATATTCATAAACGTAAAACTGATCGTTTCCCGTGGTGACGACGATAAAGGAATCGCTCTGTCCGAAGTCTAAGAAGTAGAATTGACTATATTAAATGTTATCATTATTTTATCCTAATAGCGATGCAATGTTCATGCATACCATTTATGTAGAAGCATTCTAGATCGTGGATTCGTGCATCGTGAAAGAGACTTTGATAATTAGAAAAGTTATCAAATTTTTGATTATAGTAAAAGATATTTATCGCATTCGTATCAAAATCGTCTAGTAAAATGAAACAATCTTGTTCCTGGATTAGACTTTTCACATTGCGTGTTTTACCCCCGAAGTTCCTTATTATTGTAAACTAGAAAATAACATGTTAGTACCGTTTAATGCACTTTTATAAAATAATTAGTATTGTAGCTTACCTTGGAAGTAACAGCATCCAATTTATACAAAAACGACTTTTCAGAGTTCCCGAAGCAACCGAGCAAAAGGTATACATCACGATGATTCGTTTTGAAAATTTCAATAGCCCAAGCACCATCGGTAAATAGTTTCTGGTGCAATGATAAACTATTACTTTCAAAGTTGATTTTATAAATTACAGATTCTGTTCTATGCGTTGCGTGTAAAGTGTCGTAATATATTGCCAGTACCACGAAAGCTGCATCTAAAATAGATAAATATATTATATCCGTCTAAAGAAATTAATCGAATAATTTTAGTAGTTTAACAAAATTGAAATAGCATACTATCATCGGTCATGAAAATCTTTGCATCTTTTATAAACCCTCGAATTTCTAAAGGCGTTTCTCTTACTTTGGCTAACATATCTCCAGTGTTGATCATTTCGGATTTGATCCACGAAATCGTAATAATCTCATTTTCAGTATTGTTTGAAGTACATTCGTGACTATACGATATTGTATTTGATATCACATTTATACCGAATGTACTATACAGTTCGTGATAATTTCGTACTATTTTGGTGCCATTTGTTCTTCGAATGTAACAACCTTGTTTTGTAAGTTCAGCCATGTATTCGGTTGGGCAAGAACAATTTTCTGGTAATCCGCAAAGAGACCCAGGTTCTTCTCCGAACATGTTTAGCTTCGTGATCTGCTCATAATAAACAACATCGACTTTTTTAATATTGGGTGCCTGAATTTTCAATTTTTCTTCTACCTCCAAATACGAGAAAACGTTCCCAAGAGTTTCTGAAATTGAGGAAGATCGAACAATGCTCTCCTCGATTTCCGTTTCGTTTTGTGCAAACGTGTGGAGGGTTTGACGTGTTCCTTCTTGCAAATTGTAGAGTATAGTGTTTAAATTTATCCCGTTTGTTAAATTGGAAACAGACACATTTCCTAGAATCTTAACTTTCGACTCGAAAATCTGGAAATATTCAACTTTTAAGTGCATTAAATGACTTATAGATATTTGAATCAACCAATTTTACCAAATCTCCGATGATTTCCACATCTTCGTCGTTCTGTATACCGTTAGAGTATTCTGACGATATGTTTATCCTGTTAATAAATGGTGCATGAATATTGCCATTTACTATAACATCTTCTTCGAAGATCTTTGAACCAGATATCACTTGCGTTTCCTCTGTCCCATTCAGAACCAAATCAGAGGGATAGATATCATTGATACGTGATAAATTTGCGTTTCCTAAGTTTGTAAAAAAAAATAGCAGTTAAGTGCAATCATAGTTTCAATCCTCTACACGTAATTACCTGTTACTTCAACGATGCCATGGAATTGAACATCAGCAGAAATCTCATGTTCCCTGTTGATAGCTATTCGATATTTTAAAAATTCATCAAAATTTATTTTATCGAAATTCTTCAAATATACTTCTTGTAATATAGCAAGATCTTTGAAAGATACGTTAACGGGTAACATATCAGTGGCCAAAACTACTTCATTTAAAGGAATATTGTGAGTATTATTACTGACAAATATTTGATCGACCATAACGTCATCAAGGAAAGTTATAGTTTCAGTTATCGTTTCTTCTTCATCTTTTCTTACTACAGAGCTATTGAATTCGAGAATATCGATATTATTAATAATTGAAATATTATTATCACCAGTTACCAACAGAGTATCGATATCTAGATCATCTTCAAAAACTTTTTCACCAATTATTTCGATATTTCCATCATCTATCGCAGTATCTAAAATGATATCATGTATTTCATCGAATTGTTCGTATTGTCCTCTAATATTGGAGGCTGATACATTTTCCTGGAAAATCGTTTCGCCTTGTATAGTCTGATTCGAAGCTTTAGTTACTGCGTTTTCGAATAAGGATGTTAAAGAAGCAGAGTTCATTGAAGGAATGTCCCAAGAGATGTTTCCGTATACTTTTAAATCAGTGATATTTGATACTGATACATCAAGCAGATTCTCATACAACTGAAATAGAACGTTTCTCAATTAAGTGATTGAAAACAAACGTATTATCAACCTATACTATGATTTAAAGCTTACCTCATTAACATCAAGATTGTTTATGGTCTTTGTTATAACACCTTCTTCTACAAATAAATCATCGAATATGACATTTCCTGTCAGAAATAGAGGTTTATCAATCCATAACAACATAGAGGTGTCTTGATAATTGATAAAATTGGTTTCGATATTGTCAGAGGTAATTTTGTAAAAAGAAAATTTTCCGGATATGTTTTGTTTTCTTGACTTCAAGAAGAAATTTTCGAAAAGATTGTTAACATCATGATTGTGTAGAGATTTTAACGTAGCATTCTGTACGGTTAATTTTTGAAACGTCATTTTAGTATCGAACACAACGATTCCTTTAGCGAGATCTTTTATATACGTGATCGGTTGTTGACCATCAATTTGATCAACTTTTAAGTCACGCTTAATCGTTAGATCGCCATATATTACTAAATTCTTTAAGTCGTATAATTTCATATCTTTTAACAACATAAGCTTTTTTATGTCGAAACTATTAATCTTTTCAACGTTAAGATTTTCTATATGATACTCCGTAGTTTTCGTGAATTTTGCTTCATAATGTTTGTTAACATTTCTCGCCTTCTCTAAGAAACTACTATTATCTTTGTCATTGAAGAAGAGAAAATTAAGTTCGTCTATGTCTATTTGCTTAGCTTTAATAGTGGAAACACTCATATTTCGCGGAAAAATATATGGCTGCATTCCATTAAGAATATCCGTTACGAGGAGGCTGTTGAAGACGTTAGTGAATAGTTGATTAGCGTGAAGATGCTTCAGATGGAAATTTTCTCGAATGGTTACTGATTCTGGGGCAATTTCGAAGAAACTGTCGTTTTCACCTTCAACAAGGAACGTATCGTCTATGTGAATATTCTCAAAATGCAACCATTTAAAATTTTCTGGTATAATCGTTGCAGTGGTATACAAATATTCTTCCTCGGAAAATTCATTTAAGTACTTCGTATTCAAATAATCTATAGTTAAACTATTTTCGAACAAGACATCGTTTTCAATGACTTGATCGGTTGATTTTGTCCAGTATGTATCGAGGATATTAGTTAGGTCTATTCTTTTATCGTTTAAAAGAATTCTCGAGTACTTGTCCAAGTCTAGAATTTCTATCTTTAAATTACCCTGCATCGTGACGTTAAAGTAGATTTGGTGTGACGGAGTTACAGGTAATTGAAAGTCTGAATCGATTATAAGATTCTCTGTCACGTGTAATTTCGCAATTTTCGTTTCCCCTGTGAAACATATATCGCAAAACTTTTTTAGTCGTATTTGCACAGTTAGCGAAAGTTTGGAGATTTAAATTGGTACTGATTTAGACACGTACCTTTGATTACGTTTTCAACAGATACTCGAGCTGCTTCTGAAACCGGAATACTATTTATCGAATCTGCGTACAAATTTTCTACCTGAAGCTTCCTCGCTATAAAATTGTTAAAACTTTGATTGGTTATTGTATTCATGTAATTATTCCATGCTTTTCCATTCAACATTTGTATCGTAAAATTCTGGATTTGTAACATATCGTTGTAGGTAATATTCCCTAAAAGATTTAAGTTGAATTTCAATATCTCTGTTAAATCTGTTAAATGTTCATACAAAATTAAATTTGACGAGATCTACCTTTGATTCTTTGATTCTGGTTTATGATAAATAATTCATTAAAAAGTTCGTTGATATTTATACCATTTAACAGCCTCACGTTTAAATTCCTTAACGATATATTCGAATTTAAATGTACAGTGTTATTTGAAAATTCAATTTTGTCTCTACCAATATTTATCACCATTTTTGACGTATCATTGATTAGAGACCAATCTGAAATAACGCTTGAACAACATTCTTTATATCTTCAGAATATTATTACTAAATTAAATAATATTAAGCTTACATTGAAATGGAATGCCACAAATAGCATCTACCTTAAGGTCATTTACAACAATGTCTTTTCCCTTTAATGATATCGGAAGTTCTTGACTTTCATTCGAATCCGTACTTCCATTCGAATGCATATCAACATCGTTGAAAAAATCCACGTCCATTCTATTAATCCACAATTGTTCGATAAAAGCATCTCCATCAACAACGATATCTCCATACAAAGAATTTGTGTTATTCAACATCGAGAATTCCTTGGACGTGAGAACGCTATCAATTTCATGGATTAAGTTTTCCAAGCCTTTTTCTAATTCGTGAGGCGCAATTATATCTTCATCTACGAAAACATGGATGTTTTCCACGGTTCCTGAATTTAACATTAAATTTTGGAAGGTCAAAGGTTCCGATATAGTTAAATCTTCATGTGCTGGCAGCAAGAAGGGCCATGAGGCTTCAGCTTCATCCACGAAAGGTTTTCTTTGTCGCAATATCTCAACCAGTTCCGCTAAGTGCTTCGACAAAATATCGCTTTGCTTAGACGAATGTTCTGGAAGTAAAGTGATATTAATCGAAACGAAGAATAATTTCTAAAGACAAGCGAGCTTGATATATTAACTTAAACAAAATGTCAACCTGTAGGAATTTCTTCGATCTGTAACTCCCATAATATCGCACTGTAAACTTGATCCGAATTCATGATTACTAGCATCATGGTAATCGTGGATTTGTCAATTCTCGTTTGCATATCAATCAGAGATATTCCACTAGGTAATTTCATAGAGTTTATTAGAGTACAATCCGAGGCATTTTCAAACTTGTACAGTTGTAAAATGTTCTACGATATAATTTACATTTACTAACAAGTTTTTCGTTCATTGGTTATTAAATTTTATGCTTACATTATAGCCTACGAAAAATATCGTGTCGTAGTTAATATTTACGACGTGCACTAAACTAGGTACTCGAATTTGCGAAATCTGCTGCCAGTTTAATAGTTCGTGTCCTAGAAAAAGAGCTTCGATGTAATTTCTTTGTAAATTAATAATAAATAAAAGTAAAATCAGCAGAAAGAGGACCAACCATCCCACCAAAGTAGGGTGCTTGGTCCATATTCGTCTATCAACAAAATGAAATTAAAGCCCGCGTTTCTATAATGATGAACAGAAATCGGTTTGGAAGTTTCTAAAAACTGTATCGTGTCCAAGCTGGTTTCCTTAAATTCGTACACCATGGAACCAATCCCAGGCACATTTCCATTATTCTGCGCGAATAATATGATCGTTGATTGTTTGTGATTGAACGTGGTGACTGATACCGCGGCGATAGTCATCACTTCTGTTATTACATCCATATATGTTCCTCTCCAATGGTATATTCTGTGTTAATAAGAGGTGTAAATTCTGGGAAACAAGTTAAAATAAGAAAATTGATAGCTATTAATCCTACTTACAAAGAAGGAACCGGTAATTGACCAAAATTATCGACTACTACGAGATAAAGTCGATTGGCACGAATGAAAAATTTCGCATCTAAGGGACATCCATTGTGTTGAATGGTTTGTCGATGTCTTAATTGCAAGTTATTCGCTTCTGTGTATATACTACATGAGCCAGTTTCGTAACAAATCAGCAAATAAAGTATACCTCTCCAGACGACGCTCT